CCGTACGCGTCCAAGGTGTCGGCGAGACGGTTGGCGGACTTGTTGAGATCTGAAGACGTCGTCAGAAACGATCAAAAATAGAAATGAATGATAAGAGTGGACTCTTACCGTCCGCGCTCATCTGCGCGATGTACCCGAAGCGTTGCCCCATATACAGCTGCTCCGCGGGCTTGTAGCCGTTGGTGCAAGTCTGTTTATAGAGCACGCACGGGGCGCACCGATTGCCGTGGCGCCCGTCGACGCTCTTGAAGCAGACGCGCTGCCGCGTCACGCACATCGCGCAGGGTCTTGGCGCGACCTCCTATGAAAAGGGAGTCAGTCGTCGAGGCATGGCAGAAAAAGATAAAGGAACGCACGAAGTCAGTTGGCACCTCTACGCCGGCCCTTTCCAACTTCCCCGCGAACCCTTGGCGTGCCACCGAAAGGAGCGCCTCGGTGTCGTAGGCGGCGGGAGTGAACGGAGCTCGGGGCGTGGGGGCCGACGCCTTCACAGGAGTCTAGAAACAGTCAAGTCAGTAAAAAGTCGACGACAAGAAAAAGTCGCGACTCACCGAGTCAGATTTCTTCTTGGCCGCCGCAACGGACTTTTCTGCCTTCTGAGCCTTGAGCTCGGCCTTGGCCGCAGCGACACTCCGCTCGCGACCAAGGGTCGCGGCCACCCTGCCCAACTCACTGCGTGGAGTCTTGGTAGCGGCGGGAGCCGCCTGGGCAACCTAGAAAAGAAAGAAAATTGAGTTAGTCGACGTCTGGAACCCAAGATTAGTGTCTCACCTTAGCCACTGGGGTCGGGGTAGTCGTCGCTCGCGGGGCGCTCGCCTTGCGACTGGCCTCCACCTTTGGCACCGGTTGGGGAGGCACGGACTTGGTCGACTTGGACGATCCGTCCGCGACCTTCTTGATTGGCTAAAAAGCTGGATTAAGGGGCGTGGTCTGGGAAAAAGGAGCCGGCTTACCTTGGGCTTGACGCGGGTCTCGCTGACCTGCTTCTTGGTCACGACGAAGTCGCCGGTCTCCTCTCCGCTCTCGGAGGTGTCGTCCATGACGATGACGGATGGGGCTACGAAAGTATGAGCAAACGGCAGAGGGGGGGCAAGAGGAAGAACGCACTCAAATTCGATCGCGCTTTCCCCTTGGACTTGGGCCCCTGTCAAAAACAAACCAACCATGAGACGAAGAATCGCGATCGACGAACTGGGTCACTTACCTGAAGGGCCAGCTCGTCGGCCGATGACGCGTCTCCCTCCTGGGCCCCCTCGTCGTCGACATCCATCGCAGTGTCGGCGACGGCGGCGGCTTCCTCATCGCTGAGGGACTCGGGCTGCACGGGCTGTGCTTGGATGCGGGCTGGGAGGGACCAAATGGTTAGTCTAAAGATCAATGAATAAGACATAGGATCACACACCTACGTGCGTCTTCTTGTGGACGCGCTTGGGAGGTGACCCCTGTGGAACAGGGACCGAGGTAGCGGCTACGACAAGTCAGTACCCGCGACTCTGGTGAATGAAAAGAAAGAGCCACTTACGAGTAGGCGCGTGGGACGACGCCTTGGGCTCCTTTACAGGAGTCGCCTTGGGTCGCTTCCCCTGCGACTTCTCGCTCGACTTCTTGGCGACGGCGACCTTGCTGCCCGCGACGGCGGCAGGGGCCTGCGGCTTGGAGCCGTCACCCTTCCCCTTCTGCTTGACAGGCCGGGACGACGAAGGGGCGGCGACTTGCTCGGTTGAAGCCGCCTGGGAGTCGATCAGAACATAGTGAAACGAATGAAACCGAGTACACGTACGGGTTCGACGACTCGCTTGCGTTTCTTGGGCGGCGACGACTCCTCGACTGGAGCGTTGGTGGTCAAGGGCGTAGACGCCGGCTAGCCCTTACGTGAGTGAAAAGAATAGAAGGCCAAAGCGAACAGGCGCGGCAATCATTGATCGCCGTGACTATTCGCTCCAGCGGGCTTAAGACGGAGCTCACCTGTTGGATCTGGCGAACGTCGACGGCCATCTGCCGCAACATCATGTTGTAGGCCTCAGGGCTAGGCAGGTGGTGAGTTGGATCGACAAGCCATGGGAGAGACATTGACTGACGGCATGAACTGCCGCCAGTCGATGGCAGGCGGGTTTGCTCCCGGGACAGCTGATTCGGTGACGGCTGATGGACGGTTAGCGTGGTTGAAAAGTCGCGGTAATCGTCCTGGGCGTCACTCACGGTTGTTGTCTTGGGGGCGAGGGCTCTGGTCGGGCGCGGACATGGTGGTCGAAAAGCAAGAGTGTCTCGTACTAGGGAGACTCTCGACCCTGAAAATTAAGGGCATTTATATGGTGAACATGCCGGAAGAAGTTTGATCGCGGCAGATCACGGAAGGAACCGAACAACCAAATGAATAAGACGTGGGAACATAACTCTATGTCTCCGCGGCTTTAATAATAAATGAATGAGACGTCGACTGTTGGACTTAGACCTGACGCAGTGAGACTGTCGCGGGATTGACCAGGAGGTCAAAATTAGTGTTCCTGGGAGATGATAGGCTGGCTACCAGACGCGCTCTGCACCAGCTCTGTAAGGGCGTATTTTTGCGCTTTTTACAGAGTTTACTCTTGAACCATTCGGTGTATCGTGTCGCGGGTGACAGTGTTGCGCTCAGTAGGACTTATGGGTCTACTGCCCAGTCGACGACTGTGGATAGTGTCGACGATAGCAAGGCAGTCAGGCCACTACTGTGGAACTGGTCTTATGAGTCTACGCCAGGCTCAGGGCCATTAGTGACGAACGCTTGGACCGCGACCATTCCCCAGGAAGGGATCTGTCGTTGCGTCGACTTCTCGAAAAGGGTCATTCTCTGCAGATGGGAACTTGGGCTGAAGGGCTGAGCAATGCGCGACGTTCTCAATAATAGAACTACTACTGGACAGGACTTGGCGTTACGAGACTTAAACCATCTTGTCGCGGCAACTCCCGGTTTGGAGTTGGACGTTTCCTCAGATCATGCCACGACGACGACTTGTCACATGTCAGGATCCATTCGATCACGGGACATTGTGGACGCGTCGCGGTGACACTCCCAAGTGTCACGGCGAGTCGCGTCCATACCCAAACACACTAGAAACCGACACGGCTAGATCCGTGAACCGAACCATGTGGGGGACGACTGGTGTGCCTAGGGCCATACGGCTTCTTGGGGCGCCCACGTTGGTCTCACTTGCCAAGACATACCCGTTGGCCAATCCAGCACGTCGTATTCCAAAAGTATGACGCGGTGGGTTGACCCACATCAAAAGTATCATATGGACAATAGGGCGGGGTCCTGATCACTCAGGTCCTGTCCGATCGTTCAACTTTTCAATTACCCTAAAAGGCAACCGATCTTAGATAGCGTAGCTACTATGCAGTTGTACAGGACTTTACTAAGCAGCGTCGTAGACAGTATAAGTAGCACGTCGTCTCTTTGTATTAGAAAGCTTTCCCCCGGACTGTGAATCACTCTCATATCAGATTGTTTTGTACAATTTGCGTGCCGCGTGGTTCCACCCTAAGAAGTTCTGCTACCCCTGCCCGGTCGCGACGAGTTGCTCCCTGAGCACTTGAAGCTACTGTGATTTGAGTTTGAGTTTTGAGACATCAGAAAGTCGGATTCGCCGCATCTGGTTTGGTCGCGGCATTTAGTGTCGTCGCCTTTGGGCTTTGTTGAGATCGTTCCACACCTCTAGCTTGGCAGTGCGTCGACTAGTTGTGCTCGGGTTGTTTTGGTCAGTTGGCAGTGCGTCGACTTGAGAACTTTGGTTCCACACTTCTTGCTTGGCAGTGCGTCGACAAGTTGTGCTCGGGTTTTGGACATTGGATATTGGCTGTTAGTTGGCAGTGCGTCGACGCGGCATTTTGGTTCTACTAGTTGGCAGTGCGTCGACTCAGTACTTTGGGTTGTGTCAGTTGGCAGTGCGTCGACTTGGCATTTTGGTTCTACTAGTTGGCAGTGCGTCGACTCAGTACTTTTGGTTGTGTCAGTTGGCGGTGCGTCGACTTGATATTTGGGTTTTGCGTCGCCATCTGGACGCTGTCGCTACAAGGGATCTTAATACTTCGTATTAAGCTCTGACTTGTTATATTGTTGTTTGTGGATTGGATTAGTGTTGGTTGTGTTCGTATAGAAGATATTGGTTGAGATACCATTGTTTGCTATATATAAATTCTTGTCGTCGACTTCGTCTCCGCGACTATTGGATCTGCGTCTATTGAGAGTTGTGATACTGGTGCTCTGTCCACCCCGAAGCCCTCGCATCTTTCACACACTGAGAAGCTGATTACGAGGAGTGTGAACGTGTTTTATATTTGGGTTTACTTTCATAGTAGATTCACTTGTGAGCGCGCCCTCAGCATTTCACCGCCACCTGTCATGGGTCAAGGAGCTGGCGAGGAGTGGGAAGTCGAAGAGGTTCTGGATGCCAAGATGCGCTATCGGAGCATTTGGTACTTCGTGCGGTGGAAGGGCTACGATTCGTCGCATGACCAATGGGTTAAGCACTCTGATATCTTCGCAGAGGACGCTATAGCGGCATTCTACCGCAAGCACCCCAACAAGCCACGCATCATTGCCGCCGCCATCTTCGACTCCCTTCCGTTCCAGCACCCCTCTGCCACCATCCGCACGTTGCGTCGAGGCGCCGCAATCCAAGGGGGGGGTGATGTCAGGGGAACCCCCGTTTCGGACCGCTCTGCCTTTGATCAGGCATGTGATTGCGCTCGCGTGACCTGTCAGCTGTCACGTACCGCGGCCCGGACTGCCGCGCCGAGCGCTTCTCCTTGATGGGCACATGGCCAGGTGCCCCATTGTTCCTATTGTCCCCGCTCCCATTGTTCTGTCATAGCCGTTGTACTTATTGTCCCCATTGTTCTTTGTTTGTCGCTGCGTGCTCCATTGTTCTTGTATCATATAAATAGTGGCGCCTGGCAAGGAGAATCCCCAACACGGTTTCTCTTTGGATTCTCCCTTGCCAGGTATGCCGGTCTTGTACCTAGCTACCACTATTAATCACCTTTGGATTCTCCCTTGCCAGAACTCTGAGATCGGGTCTCAAGGTTGCCCTTACAGCATCACATGGTTGCACAAACGACGTCATGTTGGGCTCCAGGAACTCGACGCGGATGTGGCTCGGCTTGTAAGTCATCGCAACATGTCCCGGACAATTGTCGATCAAGAGCAGAATGTGTCGCTTCTGGCGCCGCATCCGATCATTGAGCTTTCGCATCCATTTGGTCCACAGCTCTGCCATCATCCAGGCCTTAGCGTTGTTGCGGTAATAAAGTGGTGGGTCGATGTTTGCTGGATACTCCTCAGAATACGCGAGGCTTCTGCGATTTCCCAATGAACATGAGATCAAGCTTCTCTGTTCCAATCGAGTTGCACGCCACAAGAGCAGAAATGCGAAACTTGTCCCGTTTGGTTCCGCTCATGTGTGTGGTGCACAGCGTGCGATCCGGGGGCAAAGATGGGAAGAAACTGGTCTCATCCGCATTCCAGATGTTCTCGGGGGCGTAACGGGAGGTGAGTCGAACCAAGCGCTTGCGTTCAACTTCAACAGCTGCCAGATCAACAGAGCCGGCCTTGCCGTGTCTGCGTCTCTCAGACAGACCATGACTGCAATTGAAATCAGCACTGTTAGGGAAAATGAAAAGATGAACACACACTTTCTTGAACGACTCGAGCCATCCTGTTCCTCTCAGGCGACGCTCTTCAGGAACATTCAGAGCAATCTCGAGCCTCTTCCGTTGCTCGATCAACATGGCACCTGTCACAGCGCGATTCTTTTGTTCCATATCAAGTGCCCAGAGACCAAGGCCCCGATCAACTTCGGGTGAAGTGACAACGCGCTCACGCTTGAGCGAAAGTGCGGCGGAGTTTTCAGCAGCAAGTTTTAGAAGGGCAGCCTTCTTCTCCGGATTGAGGTGTTTTGAAAGTGCGCCCTGGGTGAAGAATAGCTTCCCTCCCTCGGCATTAGACCTCGAGGCAAAGAATTCTATGACAGCTTTCTGCTTTGTCCCCGGATTTTTCTCGGCATACTGGATAACCTGCAGCCAGTCATAATTTGTGAGATTTTTGCGCCCTTCCTGCCCCAGAATAGCAGACGAGCGATGGGTTCCGTTAAGCTTTGGGCCAGGCTTCACGCGGGTAGCAGCTTTAGCACGTGCCTCAGTGGGATCACGGTCCCGAGCGCGGACAACACGAGATTTTGCAGTAGGCTCAACAGGCATAATGGATGGTATGGATGAGGGAGAACCAAAATTCAGGGCTCATGCATTATATTCTCACTTACAGGACTCATTGTTCGCCCAAAAAGCCATTCCAACCTGTCAGAGAACACCTGCCATCACCCCTAATAAGGAATATCCCTGCGATAGAAATCACCTAGCCGTATTCTTTATTCCGGACGACAAACAATGGAATATTACTGCCTTCCCAACATGGGAAGGCCGATTTTCTATTCCTTATCACGGATATTCCACATCACATTATTCCTTATTAACAACTCTACTGTAGGCACGTGGTGCTATAGGCCTTCAAAAGGCCTTCACGTTGGCTCGGAGGTCCTATAAGCCTTCAATTATAGGCCTATAGGCCTTAACCCTATAGGCAAACACTGACCCCTGCTAGCCATTTTTGATAATTTTCATGCAGTGCATCACGTGATTTTTACCCCCCGCCATCAGCCGCCATCCCGCCCATTGGATGTGTCATGTGATTCATTTTTTTTCGCGCCCACCTGCCCGCTCCTAATGATAAATCACATGATATATACAGACCCCCCCTGCACCCCCCCTCCCCCTGCTGACCCCTGCAGGGGTGCAACCGGGTGATGGCGGTGGTAACTGAGGTGTCCGCCGCAGACAATGAAGATCATGTAGACCAGCAGGTGCGAGGTCTCGATCGGCCCAGCAGACATTATCTTCCAGGGCGCCGCCTTGGCAGGTTTCCAGAGATGGAGGTGGTCATTGGAGATGGCGTCGTGAGTCAGAGAGTGAGTCAGGGACATGGAGAGCAGCCATACATTTGGTCCTCTATTGAGTGAACGGTAATGTGCATACTTTAACTACCAAACTAAGTTCTCTTGGTCAAGGTTACCTGGAGTGGTACAGCAATGCTGGTGACAAACTGGTCATGCAGATGGTTACTCCACTCCTTGGCTCCAGTGAAATCCTTTGCAAAGCTGATGTCAAACGTCTGGATGAGCGCCGCGCTGACCATGATCATCTCCTGCCACGCGAGATTCTTTCCAACACAGTTTGCAAAGCCAAACGAGAACGGGATGAACGCGAGGGTGTTGTGTTTCTCGACTGACTCAGGGCTCAGCCAACGCTGGGGCTTGAAGGTGTCTGGGTCATCAAAGTTCTCTGCTGAGTGGTGGAGAGTGTACTGCGGCACGAAGATCTGTGTGTTCGGTGCGATGTAGCTGGGAGGGAGTGTCAGCTAATTTGAGAGATCTTCAGAGACGATGAGAAGGATGCCCACTGTCCGGCGATGACTTTTCCACCCCCAACGGGAACTTTGCGGGGCCCGCCAGACGGGACGGGCGGGAGAAGCCGGAGTGTTTCGTTGCTGCATGCGAATGCGTCAGTGGGGGTAGGCACTGATCGACTACTAGTGGACTGACATGCATGCGGTGAGGAAGGGGAGCTGCGAGTGCTTGGATGCATCGAGCGGTGAGTCACCGCGCGGGTAGACGCCGTCTACTTCCTCCCGGACTTGCTTGTAGACTGCCGGGTTCGACAGCAGGAGCCAGATGAGACTGTCCAATCAGCGGATCAGGAACTGTTCAACAAACATGAACAGTATCCAACCACGTACCTGCTCAGTGCCGTGGACGTCGTATCAGAGCCCGCGATGATGCTCAGCACACCGTCTGCAATCACCTCGGGGATTGACGGGCGCTGTTTCTCCACCTCGGCTTCGTCCGTCTGGACAGAGAGTCGATTTCAGCTTCTTAGATAACAGACACAAGAAGACACACCAGATGATACCACAAATCCTTAACGAGCGAGCCAGCTTTGATACGGTTGGCAGCAGACAAGGCACCAAACTGGTGGAGGGCGTTGATGTTCTTGCCGAGAGCCGGGAACAGGCGCATCGTCGGTAAAATCCAAGGAATCGGAGAAGTAAACGCCCCGACGCTGGGGTGTAGGAATTTTTGTGAGCAAACGAGTCAGGCGGCAGTGCATAGTACAGACACGCACCGAGTGCCATCTTCGATGATCTTCCACAGTCCGTCCTTGTCCCCGCGATCCCGCATCATCTCGAATCCGCCACCAAACCTAGATCACACGTGAGTATGTGGTAGATGCGTGGAAGGCAGCCCTCGCACGCACGCCATATCTCCCATAAAATCAAACCTGGGATGAACAATTCAGCATGAGACCAAATGATTGCGGGACACCCTCTACTCACGTGAAAAAGCCCAACCATTTGGAAATGCTGACCGACGATCTGGCATGGGACTGCTCCTCCAACCCCTCCAGCAGCTGCGCGATCCGCTTCACCAGCGTCACCTCGTAAGTGGCAATTGCAGCCGAGTTGAGGCCGCGGTTCCAGATCCGGCGGCGGTTCGTATGCGCGTCTCCCTTCAGCAGCAGCAGCGACTGGGCTGGGAGGGCGGGGTCGACTTGGGACTCGTAATCTGGACGCGGTCAACAGAACTCCGACGTGGGTGAGCTTGGGTAACTCAGCACTCACGCTGGCCTTTGGGGTACGTCCCCAGCACGACTTTGACCGCATCGGTGTGCGCGATCGACACCTCATTTGGGCCTGGCGAGTGTACAAGAATAAGTGACCGCATCCCCGAGCACGAGAAAAGTCGGGAATCAGGAAACACACGCACCCGTTCGGATGACTGGGCCGTACTGATCATGCATCCGCCGGATAGCACGATGCGAGTCCCCCCGCGCGACGTCGCGGAGGCTCCAGACCTTCGAGATCTTGTACAGAGCCGGGCCAGGGACCGATGCGAGGGGGTGCCACGGGGAGAGTCAGTAAAGCACGATGGAGAGCGACAGGGAGCCGATGAATGCTGCATAGACGCCGAGCACGGTGAGCACGGTGGGTGTTCCATGGGAGAGGAACGAGATGATCAGCGCAGGCTGGATGAGAATCGCTAGCAGAGGGTAGTGTGCATTGTCCGGCTCAAAGAGGCGGAAGAAGATGTGGTTGAGCTGTGGGGATGTGAGCCCGGGTTTTAGGAACATTGATATCGGATACTGACCACACCAAGTAAAGTGGATGAGAGCCAGATTTGTTGCATGGGGGTGAAGTATACAGCTCGGCGGTTCGACGCGATGCTTTTATCCTACAGACAGTGATATGATGTATGAAGTACGGCCCCCTGTGCATAATAGAGAAAATGTCAAGCACACACTTCCTGCTCACCGAGCGTCATTATCTCTTGGTCACATCCGTCGATGTAGAGCCGCTATCTGACAATGCAGGGCTTCTGGGCGGAGATTATCATCCAACCAAAATGTGTTTCCGTCACCAATCCCGATCAGGCGCACATTATTCCTGGCTGTCTTGTAGTCAGAGGACAGCAAGTTTCCAGCGGTAATTTGGTGAGCCGAACACCGAAAACGGGCTTCGACATTCTGCTGGCATTCAAAAGGCAAAACTATCAAAGTGCGATTTCTATGGCCAGCGAAGTCGTACTCAGGAATTGGTGCTCGCGTGCACTGGTAGTGGAGACTACTGTAGTATTTCGACCGTAGCTTCAAGCCAAGTGACCGGTGACACCTTCAATTCATCCAGATATTACTTCAGAATGATAAGTGACCGGTGACTCTTTTTCTGAAAAATTCATGCACGCAATTGGGTTCAAAACTTCAATGTCGGCCAGTCAGGTGAGAACAATCCTTTATGATTATCAGAACGCGATTGCGGATCGCCGCCAGATCACCTCCCAATGGAGAAAGAAGAGTTTGAGGGTCAAGCGGATTCGTTTTCAATCGCCGAACGTCGCCCTCGTCGTGCCATCAAGGCTCCGACTCGTTTTGGAGGCACCGAGATGTGGGAGGACACTTAAATTGCTGTAGATACAACACAGACAATCAGATGTAGAGTTAGAGCGAAAATTGATTGTTTACGTGTCTCTGGAACCCCAAAAACAGTGTTCTGGCCGTGTCCTTGAAGTTGAACTGTCACCGACTTCAAAACTGTCAATGACCGGTGACACAATTGTATTTAATTCAATTCAAACTCGCTAGTGACCGGTGACATGAAGCTATGGTCGAAATACTACAGTATTTACGAGTCGCGATGAACCATGGGAACGCGTGGTCATCACAGTCATGTGCTAACCCAACCGTGGGAAATGGAAACGGAAACGCGGAAATGCGGGTCCCATGCACTCACGCTTACTTGGTCAGCCTGACCCAGCAACAGCACGCTGGGACTTGTCCCGAAGATATTATGAAGCCGCTCAGTCCATTCCTCCGCAGCAAATCCATTGGCAAAACACATATCGAACGTGTATTCATCAGCATCGCGCTAACCATGACCATCTCCCGCATCGCAACGTTCTTGCCGAAGTATTTCACAAAGCCGAACGAGAAGGGGATGAGCGCGAGCGGGTTGTGAGTTTGATTCGCGCTGGAGACAGAGGCACGGGGGAGCCACTGCTCTGGCTTGAAGGTGTCCGGGTCGTGGAAGTTGTCGGCGGACCGGTGCAGCGTGGACGTCAACCTGCGTGTTTGGAGGGATGTATCTCACAAGACGGGCCAGATCGTTCTGTGGTTTCTGCGGGGAATACGGCGACTGCAAGACGCACTGTCCAGCGATGACTCTTTCGCCGCCGTCACCGGGGACTTTGCGCGAACTGCCGAAGGGTACTGGCGGAAGAAGCCGGAGCGCCTCGTTCCTGGGACTTCTTATCAGCGCGCGGGGTCCACAGGGCTGGCTGGCTTTAAGTATCGCAAACTCACAGACACGTAGTGTGGTACGGCAGCTGAATATGCTTGCTCAGATCCATCGGCGAGTCTCCGCACGGATACACGCCGTCGACTTCGGCCTGCACTCTTTTGTAGGCGTCTGGGGGAGATAGCAACAGCTAGATCTGCTAAATGAAGGCACAGCAACTTTCTCCACTGCATACATCTCAAACACGCCAGAAAAGGACACTCTAGGCTCCGAAAACCGATTGCATGTGCGCTTACGAGAGCCTATTCATATTTCCTAAGCTGATCGGCTTTTCATGTTCTTCTGTGTGGATCAGGCCGGCTTCGAGCATTTGAGGCAGCTCCTTGCAGCAGCTCTCGGAATGAACGCATGGAAGCCCAAGTACTGACCATGTCCGTTGCAGGTTTTTTGTTCTCAATGCCGGTCCAGGAACTCCACCACCCAGTGACCACCCGATCTCCGAAAATCACTTCTCCAACGCCGACTTCGGTGATCTGGTCAACTATTGTTCTGCACGTCTACACAAGCACGATCTCAAACCGAGCTTCTCCCCAGACGACAGTAAGCATCCCGTGTGAAGGCTTCTGTGAACAGACACTGCGGACGAGGGCGCCGACTGACGCAGGTTATTGAGAATTTCCCGAAATGAAAATCCAGCGAGCTCTCAACAATTCCATTGGCAACAACCACCTTCTACTACTGCGGCACGTCCTCGGAACCTGGTCTGCCCCGTCGAAAACTACCTCGTGTCTGGACGGAACGCTATAAAGCTGAGTAGGCGGAAGCGTACCAATATACTCAACCACTCCAATCTTCTGGCTGGTCTCCCCATGTCTCGACTTGCTTTTTTCTTGACTTTCACTGTCTCCCTCACATCAGTCTTCGCAGCAGAAATTGCTGAGCGGGGCACGACCGATCCCTCCTCCGTCCATGTGTGAGTGGACCCATCTGCTCATTCATAAGGCGCGTCTGATCTGTGAATTGTGTGTGAGCAGGCTTGGATATGTGCCTTCAGTGAGCCTCTCCCCATTCAAAAATGCTCTTCGATCAATTAACCGTACTATCTCTAGCGACACTTTGCCACCATGGGAATCATCGCGTTCGCGCAATCGGTGGTCGTGTCTCTGATCCACTTCATCTGGGTCCGACCGATCAAACTCTCTATGCTTACTTACGTTGTCGGAATGACCAGTAAGCTACGAGCCCACGATCGAGTGCAGCCGCCCTTGCTGACGATGGTCAAGCGCTCACCACTGGTTTCCTCCTCCGCGCCATGGACGGGGCCGCGCCTTTCTATCTGTGGAAGTACATCGCCTGGGATCTGGTGTGTTATCTCCACTCTCGCTGGGCAGAACGGATCCTTGCTTACATCGTTTGCAGTTGATTCTTCTTTCGGTGCCTATTTTCTCGCACTCGCTGCGAAACCAGCACTGACAGCCTGCAGCCCAGCTTCTTTATCGCCACATGCTACTTTCTTCTCGCTCATCTGGGCAATACGTTCGAGCCTGATGTCGTCTCGCGGTGCCTTGTCGTCAGCCCCTCAGGCATTATGACGTTCTTTGTCGGCAGCAATCTCATCAGTTTCCTGCTGGAGGGTGGCGGCGGAGCTTTGACTGTCTCACAACATGATTCTCTCGCCGCAGCGGGCTCCAAGGTACTTGAATTCTTCTTCCAGCCACATGACGATTCCAGTTGTAACTCGATCTCGCAGATTGTCTTGACCGGATTCATTCTCCAGACCGCCACACTCCTGCTCTTCATTTACGTCCTGATTTCTTTCACGATCCGAATGTATGGCCGCTCTCCATGTCCCTGACTCACTCTCTGACTCACGAGTCACGACGCCAGGTCCAATGACTACCCCCATCTTTGGAAACCCGCCAAGGCGGCACCTTGGAAGGTAATGTCTGCTGGGCCAATCGAGACCTCGCGCCTGCTGGTCTACATGATCTTCATTGTCTGCGGCGGACTTCTCGTGCGCACCGTATACCGCGTGGTTGAATTCGCTGGAGGGTACGTCTTCTCCAGCTGGCAGGAAGACTTCCGTGAAAAGTGACCTGCTCACTCCAGCTACAACGGCGCCGTTGCCAACAAAGAGTTGTACTTCTACCTCTTCGAAGCGCTGCCGCTCGCCATGACCACGTCGATGTTCATCTCGCTCTGGCCGACACGGTTCCTCCATAAACAGCGGCAGATTTATTCGGTTCCTGGCAGACCGAGCGAGGAAGCGCTGAAACTCCAACCAGTCGGCGAGGCTTGAATGACGTTCCGTGTCTTTCATCGGATCTCCAAACACCTCGCTTTCTTTCCTCTTCTTATGATCTTGACTTCACATCGGTTCTTTATTACGTAGAAATGAACTTGGATTAGAGTATCAACAACAATGTCAGACTCAGAATAGGTCAGAATAAGTCACTCTCGTTGCCACGTAGTTTCAGACCGCGTGTTGACAGGGTCAGTCGACTCCCCGGGTCAATTGTTTATCACACGCTCCTCGCCAGGACCCCAGATAATGCAGTCAAACGTTGACCTCAAGATTGGCTGATGCTCCCCATATGTGTCTAACGCGTTTCAAGCCCGAGTCCAGTATTTTAGTCCAACCCGTATTGCCATACACACTTCAAAACCTGAAATTCTACTTTTTACGGAAAATCGCTACAGTCCACCAGAGAGTGATGGAGGAAATGATGGCAGGGTGAATTTGTGGAAATGGGCGTTGAAAACAAAAAGTGAATAAAAATTGGCGCGCACAACGTACTAACATGGAGCTACAGTCGATTTGGAAGCCTGCAAGAGCTCAACCTGATTACCTCGCTGCATTTTGTCCAACATCCCTACTTACTATTTGGGGCTAAGTGTTCTACCTGATATCCACCAAAATTGTTCGACGTACTTAGCGGCTGACATTTGACTGCATTATCCGGGGCCCTTCCTCGCCCTGCTTGGGATTCGCTGAACGTAATCCCATCACAGCGTCTGCGCTTGCAACACCGCCTTGTGCCCTCAGTTCGCGGTCATCGAGACATTCTCGGCGTCTCCATCTTGCACCTCGCAGTGTCTGCTGTAATTGCTCATTACAGCTCGTTTTCCACATGGCAGCTACATGTCTTCTTTCTTTCACCCCTGGGATGACTGAAGAGAGAGAGAGCGAACATTGAGAACTAGTTACCTGCTCTGTGACTTCATGTGAAAAATAATTCAAGCCGAATCGTACAAGGACAAGCATAATTTCAAAGGTCACTAGCGGTATCTACTTGGTGACCCACAGTCTATTTTGGAGCGGATCGCAGAGCATTCACAGAGAGACCCAGACACCAGCTCGTAGCAGTCTAGGCCGGAAATCGGGCGGCCGTCTTGCCCTCCCGGCCGCGCAACGAACGGATGGTCTGCAGCGCAAGCGGGTCCGTAGGCCCATCTCCGTGCATGAGATGATCCAACTCGGGCAGCCACAGACGGAACCCAGGTCTCAAGGAGGTCGACACCCAAACCCAACGTCAAGGTCCGCTCAGAAAACGGTCACGCCGGACTGCGTTCCGGTGTACTGGCTCTTCATGTCGTCCAGGTCAGCAGCATCGTCCTGGCTCTTGTAGTCGTATTGCGAGAGACTCCCCGCGTCGCTGATGCCCGCCACACTCGAGCTGCCGAACGAGGGGCGCCGGCCCCGGATCCTGTCGCTCTGCGAATACGCGATGTTGCTCGCGCCACCGACCACACTGCTGCTGTCCGTGATGACGCTGTTCGCTCCGCCGGGATCCTGGGAGATCACCGACGACGCGTAACTGCCGTACACACTGCGTTTGGCACCATTGGGTCCACGGGGAATGCCGTTGGACACGGCCCCGAACGGCCCAGAGGCGGAAAACATCGGCAACCCGGACGAGTACGTGGCCTGCGACCGGAGGGATTGCACATCAGAGGGGATGTATCCTAGAGCATCGTGCGTTCGATAGAAGCTCGCATCGAAGCGGCTGGGTGTCCCCGAGCGACGGCCTTTTGAAAAGTGATAAGTACACAGTAAAAGACTGGGAAGCACCACGTACTATCAGCGGTCCCAATGTAATCTCTGGCACTCGTTTCATGCCTCCGGAACTGGTCCATCGACTTGGAAAGCGTCCGACGGGGCTTGCTGAACTGGATCATGCTCGCTTGCAGATTGCTAAGCGCCCCTTCAACAAGGCAATTCTTCTCTTTGTAGTGGGTCAGCAGGTAGTGCCAAAGCGGGTGCTAGATAAAAGCCCCAAGTCATCAGCCTTATGTACTCTGTCCCACAGCTTTCTCACTGACCTTGCTCAAAACTTTAGGGTTCCCGAGAATGACCACACCGTACTTGGCACGAGTCAGAGCAACATTCAACCGCCGCGGATCGTTCAGGAATCCGATGCCCTGGTGCTCGTTGCTGCGGACACAGCTGAGGATAATGTAGTCCTTCTCCCGGCCCTGGAACGCATCCACACTCGCGACCTCGATCTCCTTGTACAGATCCTTCTTGAGCGACCCGTTGAACTGCATGTAGTTCACGATATACGACCGCTGGCCTTCGTACGGCGTCACCACGCCAATCTGGCCCGGCACGACACCCGATTTGAAGAACTTGGTCACGATCTTCTCCACATTCGACGCTTCCGTCCGGTTCAGAAACGACGTCCCGCTGCTCGAGATTTCCTCCTGGCCCAAGTTCTGGTAGAAGAACATCGGCGTGTCGGGAACAGGCCACGGGAAATCGATGTTCTTGCGCAGTCGTTCGGGGGCCGTGACACCGTTCTGCAGAGTCCCTTCGTAGAACATGTTCGAAGGGAACTCGGACAGACACGGATGCATCCGATACTGCACTTGCAAGCGGATCGGTCGATTGCCGAGCACCACTAGACGCTCAAAAAGCGATTGCGTGAGGCCCGCCCTCGCAGCCTTCTTGTTCATGATAACTGGCCCCAGTTGCTGGTGATCGCCGACCAGCACGACCTGCTTGCAGCCCAAAACGAGCGGGATCATGCACTCTAGAGAAATCATTAGCATTGCTGCCGTGTTCGTCAGATCGAGTCACGCACCAGGCTCCGCAGCTTGAGTCGCTTCGTCAATCAAAACCGTCCTGAACTTGAGCTTGCTCAAACGAGGGTCGCCGGCTCCAACACAAGTGCAGCAGATAACATCCGCAGCGCCCAGAATCTCTTTTTCGCACTGCCGGATGAGGGTCTTGTACTTGCGCTCGTCGTTGCTGCTCAGCTCTCCCTGCTCGTTCTTCAACATGATGAGCTTCTGCAGCTCGACATGCGTTGTGCTGTTCGTCACTTGCTGGTGCAGTGTCAGAAAGTTGATACTCGAGTCCAGCGCTTCCCGAGACTTGGCGGTAAGTCGGACGACCTTGAGACCCGTCGCGTGGATCTTCTCAGTCAACTGATCGACTGCGACGTTGGACGGAGCGCAAACGAGCACTTGTCCAGGGTTCATCTTGGCCAGATGGTACACGACAGACGCTGACGTCACAGTTTTGCCCGTTCCAGGGGGGCCTTGAATCAAGCTGATGGGCTTCTGCAGGACGCTTTTCACCGCATACATTTGCGAGTGATTGAGCTCCGGAAGACCTGGAGCTGAGAAACGCTTGGGCATTTGGGTGCGAAGGGTCTGAGGTTCCAGCTCATGACCTAGCAATTTGTGGTACTGGGCAAGTGGTCAATTGAAAACACAGAGAGGAGAAATAGATAACGAAACGCACGATGTAACCGCTAACGCTCTTTTCATCCACAGCAAACGTCTTCATCGCGAGCTGCATTCGATCAAAGCTCGTTGACTTCCAGACAAAGTCCGCGGCAAAATTATGGGTGCACTCTGACGGCACGCCCTCCGCGCGACGAAGTTCGAGTCCAATCTCGTCCGACACGTCTAGCAGAAGGTATTAATACTTCCGGAAGATTTCTATGTGATGCAAACTCACTGTTCGGGATTTTGATGACATGACCGACACCCTCCCAGGCCTTGTGCAGTTCTCCCGCATACCGTAAGCGAAGTTCATCTCCGACAGCCAGCCGAACCTCTCCGCTCTCAAGTTTCGGCAACACGAACCACGCGACCCGCTTCTGATTGAGACCTAGATCCCACCGCACAGTGATATCGGTCTGCGTCTGGCTCTCCTTGAGACGCTTGTCATAGTCCGCCTCGATCTTGACGAGCGGTCCAAAGATGTTTTGGTACTGGTACGCGTCCTCGTATCTGAGCAGGATGGGCTGCGGCTCGTCGTCGACGCCGGGCTTCTCGAGGTCCTCGACGGTGGCCGAGGCGTTTTCGCGCCAGAGATCCTCTAGGCGGTTGATCTGCGCAAAGGGGATTTGACGCGAGCGCAGCTGCTCCGCCTCGCTGGGCGGTTTGACGAGCCAGGAGAGGAAGGACCGGTCGTCGATAAGGGGAGCCCAGAGGGCGGCGTTCCAGGAGATGTCCTTGGAGATAGCGGCGCATGGTTGCCTGTGGTCATTATCGAGTCAGAGATGCGTCAGTATATGACAAATGCAGCCGGGGCGCACCGACAAAGCAGCACCACCACTGTGTCGCTCTTCGCGGGGATGAACCCGAGCATGAACACGTTCTTGCTCCCGCAGTTGTAGCATTCAGGGGTGGTCTCTCCGAGGGGGCTTTCTGCGTGCAAGATGACCTCTTTGTGTTTGGCGCGGACGAGGTGGTTCACGATGTGCGACGCGGATGTGTTTCCCCGGGAGTTGCAGAACCACTTGTTGCAGATGAGGCACTTCACGACGGACGCCGGCGAGTGAATGCCGCAGTAGCTGTGAACGAATGATGGTGAGGAAATCGCGTTGGAAAGAAGCGAAGATCCGGGACACACACCTGCAGGCGTGCGGCGGCAAATCGACCACGCTATCGTCCTTCAGGTCATCCAAAACAGCATCAAAATCCTCCTCGATCCCTGCCCGTGGTGCGTTATGAGGATTCGTCTGGCCATTGGTCGCGTCGGGCGAAGAGATGTATTCGGAGGACCCGGAGATGGAGAGACTTGACAAATCTACCGAGGAGGCATTGTCGGCCGTGTTGGCGGTATAGACAGAGGAATTGTCATCGACGATCCCCATGCCTCCATAGCTGGAGGCGGAATCGTACTGGAAGTTATCGAAGGTATCCATAGGTAGACAAAAGAAAGTGGGTGCGATGGATTCAGTCAGTCAGAGGCGCTCGCTGCCGCTGAGTAACATCCCCATTTGGAAACTCCACACACAGCCCCAACTCGGACCTACATTCACTTTTTCATGGTGACTGCTTGGTTCGGAATTGCGCCAGTGGCTGACATTTGGCACCGCCAGATTCCAAGTTGGCTTTCTGAGAAAGAGCCTTGACGACTGAATGTTTTGTAAGGTGTATAATATACGTAGATTGCAAAGTGTGTGATTCAGTTTTGGACCAGACCGTCCTTCACCCATCTTGTTCCCTTCTTAAAGTAGAAATCACCGCGACGCGTAGCCTTTTCCGGCGCTCCCTGGAGCAAAGACAGCGCTGAAAGATTCCCTTCTAGACGGAAGCTTTGCAAGGCGGCCAGCAACTGAGCACTCGTCATCTCGTCCAATTCGGCTATGGCGAATTTGAGAGACTGCAACTGTTCACCCCAGAGCGGGCTGCAAAGACACTCTACCAGATTGCTAGCGCCTTCCCATTCCGGTGCCCAAACGGACAGCTCCTCGAGGCTGGGAAACCGTTTAGACAAGCGTGCGAGGTCGATCGACGTCTCGTCGCAGATACTGACGACCTGGATTTGGAGGAATCTGAGAGCGGGCATGCTCAGGCCCTCGTATACTCCGTGCAAAACAGATGACCGGCGACAAACGAGCTCGAGTGATTCGAGCACAGGCGCGTCGATGTGCGACAAGAAATCTGCGTTTTTATGTAGCAGAATCCCGCTGAAGCTGCGAAGATGGGGCAGAGAACCCTGATCGTGCAACGCCCATCCGTCAGAGCCCAACGAGAGTTCGACGACGTTGTCCAACCCGTGATAGGCGGCGCGCATATCCTCCTTGACCGCCCAGGTGCAAGCAAATTCCGAATACGAAGCGAGCTGCGACCAGGGGATGGCTTTCACGCAATGCTCATCCATGGCCAAACCGTGCAAGGCCAACACCCGAAGACTTCCAATCCGAACCAACGTCGGCAGCAGCTTCACGGGGCCTTGCACGAACAGCGTGTGCAGTTGCTCAATCGAATCTGCTTCGAGGAGCTCCCGGATGTGATCAGTGAGTGACACCGCGCAAACACCCAGCTTCCCGATCCTGTCCAGTCCGACTTGCGCGATGGCCGAGCCACAGAAACGGCCCAGCGCTGTCAGGGAAACATTCGACAGCTCGCTCAAGTCCTGGATCAAGTTGACGGCAAGAAATGCCAGAGGGGAGTCTGAGCGAGAGGCGAGATCGCGACATGCCTCGAGCCCCAGTGTCATCTCTTTAGAGTACGTGCGCTTGAGAGCGCCTTGATTCGGAGGCGGACCCGATGACGAGATAGAGCCCATCGACGAGAAGTTCGTCAGTGCTCGCAAAGGAGCAGAGTTCGTTCGCGCGAGTTGGTTCGGGGGATGCGGCTCTGCTTCTTTAGCTGTGAACAGCTGGCTTTGAGAATGTGCAGGGGAACTCGAGAACGGCGCGGGGGACGTCCGGCCATCGGGGTCATCTCTGAGTGTGCTGGCCGGTGTCGGGAGCCTGGCAAAGATCGGTCGGACGTCCATAGTCGTCCAGAGCTCGCGACATTTCAGAGCCACAGCGCGCCAGCGGCGGCAGACTTGGGCGACATTATGCGGAGTGGGACTACACCGGAAGGATTCGTTCTCTTGCATGCTGCAGGACACGAATACAGGCGCCAGCTGTCGAAATATCGCCTGAAGAATCTCAGCGGGGACTGCCTCGACCAGCCGCCGCACCGCGGCATTCATGATGTGTTATAGAGCCCGTTCTTGCCGTTCAAGGGAGAGCAACTGCGCGCGTGTGTCGCTCAGTCGGCAACGGAGCAGTTCCAATGCGGCGCCAGTGCTCAAGGAGGTTTCAACAGATCTTTCTGCTGGGTTCTGTGCGATCTTTAGTAGCTGTGGGCACCGACCAATACTGTCGAGGAACGCTTACCCCAGTCATGTCTCAGTGAGTTATGCAAGTGAGTAGCGGGAAAGCAAGCAGCCTGCACGAGCAGCAGAGCCTTGCGTGCAACATTGTCTGCAGACCGGAAATTGCAATTGTCCCCGAGTGATTCTGGATTCGGAGGACAATGGCCAAAAAGCCAGATCACGTTACAGGACACAAGCTCAAGCCGTGGTCTCATCAAGATCCAGTCCAGTAATAGTAGCGCGCCGGACGGATGCGTTGATGTCTTGAAAGCTCCGCAATGCTGTGGACAACAATCTCAGTGCACGAGGCTGGTTCTGCCAGATCACTAGGGCTTGTCAAGGCATGGGCCGAGTGTCTCCAAGAAAGCATTGCTAATTGAAACTGGAAAGAAAAGTTGGCAGTGCGGAGGGGTCGGTAGGAAAGCTTGAAGAACCGAGTTGACTTCTGCGCCATTGAAGCTTTGCTCACCTCACTCACCGCTTCTCCGAATCTCTCGGATCTAGTCCCGCATTAGAGCTGGAAGGAAAGCTGGTGGCGTCGAGGAGCCAGAAAAGGTCCTTTTTTATAGCGTCAATTATGCTCGCCACATTCCCGCGCACACTCCAGCAGCTCCGGACTTGAAATTGACGAGGCCGCGCAGAGTGTGATGACAGTGGGAAGCAAGCCGCTGAGCCTAAACTGGCCAAATAAGAGATCACTCGGAGGGGGCGGCGTTCTTCTCGTGCAACAGGCGGATTGGACCAGGGTCGACGCGCCGAATAAAGGCGATGCAGAATAGTGTGCACGGATACACAGTCTGGCCGGCGGAAAACATACAGATGTGCACTCTAGATAGAGAATAGAAAAAGGATCCTGTTGTGGAATACGATAGAGGAATAGTGCCGCCGTGTGCGTGCCCAGGTAGTAAGGTAGAGGCCCCGAAGAAATCATGTCATGAGAATTTACTACCAGCCACGGGAGTCACCGCACTTTCTTGCGAATCATCCGACGCGGCCGTCTGATCTGGGCTGCTGACCTCGTCGCTGGCGCGTTCCTGCCCACTGCTCGTCTCGTCGCTGGTATCATCTGTCGGGACCGGCGGCAGCTGTTTCCACGGGGACTGGCTTTCCGCAACGGTCTCGGTCTGGCCGACATTCAGACCATATCTGCTCCCGACTTCTTCTTCCCAGACACCCCCTTCCCCAGTTGAGCCATCAAACGCGGCTATCTGTGCCACGACCGTCCGGTCGCCGGAGATAGCATCAGGCAACAGCGTCTCCGTGCGTCCCTGGACCACCATCCCCGGGGCGGGCTTCTTACCCTGGCCCATCTTGCGCCAAAAGCTCTTCCCGGCACCCTTCATTTTCCGGCCGAGCGTCACCAGAGGGTCGTCCGACTCCGTCCCGAGCGAGGTATTATTCGCACTGCGCTGCGCATGGTCCGCGTGATCGGCGAATATGCGCTGCGTATGCATATCAGCGTCGTCGTCCGCCCACGTCGGTGGCGCGGGCGGCAGCAGCGGGTCCCCGTTCGCATCGTAGCCGGGCATCCCTGCGCGCCGCCGGCGCATCATCGCACCGCGCGAAGCGACTGTGCAGCGCGTCCGTTATCAGTCAAGCGTGCACGGCGGCCAGGGAGGGGGGTACTCACCGCCTAGGGGGGCAGCGGAGCGTCGCTTGCGCGGGGGGATGTGGGGCAGGGTGGCGAAGGAGACGGACAGCGCGCTCATGCTCGTGCTCGTCCGCCGTAGCGTGTGGCCGGCCCCGTGACAGTGGTCTGGCGATGAGGACGAGGACGAGGATCCGGGTAGGGGGGTGTCCGACGATGAGCTCGTAGGCGATTCTTCGTCCTCCGCGCGTGGTAGGATGATTATTCCCGTGAGCTTGATACTACTGGGCTTCGATTTTATCGTCACAAAGTCTGAGGGGCTCAGTGATTCTTGTGAGTCGTTGCGCGGCATGTTCTTCGTCTAGAAGTGTAACGTGTCCCGGCAAGAAAAGGAGTAGCAGATGTCCAAAGGAGGGTGATTAGTTGAGAATAGATAGACCAGGTTGAGGAGAGGAAGGCGAATTTCGAAGTAAGGAAAGACAGGCACCGCTTCCCGGAGGGAAAATTATCAGGCTACAATCAGCCATCATCGATCGTCAATCATAGATCAACACCCATTCATCAACGCAACCTGGGACGACTTGTAGCGCCAAGCTCTGATACTTGCCAACTTCGTTCGTTTTTTCGAAAGCCGGCATTTATATAAGATCCTCTTCGGACATGAAGTGATCTCGACTGGATTTACCCCAGTCAAGTATCTCATCTGTCGACCCAGAACTCCATCCACGAATTATCCACGCTCTTTACCGACCCGGCTGTTAGGCTCACCCGCCGCGGCGCCATAAACGGCCTGAGCATCTGCCGATTTCATGACGGATCATGTCGCTCAAATGCGCGTTCCAGCGTTTCATCTCCAACGGAAAGATCGATAGTTGCCCAGCTGTCGACGCCTGTCCCGAGTTGCACAAGCTCTTGACGCGTCGCGCGCGCAACTTTCCTTGCAGCCGCTGTTCGCTCCGCCGAGGACCTGGCCCGCTTCATCCCGGTCGAGACGTGGCGCCGCAGCCTACATACTAGTCTGCAAAGACAGATCTCAGGGAGCCACGAATGAAGTGTCAAGCTCTAGATGCTCTTAGACTTCTGCCGAGACTATGGGACCATCTGTCGCGGATAGCGTTCTAGATGTGCACATTATGCGACAATTGGAGCATCATTCTGTATTCGGTCATCCGAATGACCGTGTTGCCAGCCGAAAACCGCAAGGGAGGATACATACCCAGATCACAAAGACACATGCTATGGCTACTCTATACAAACTCTTTGCTCATGCCATACGTCCAAAAGAAGCGGTCAGTCCGCTTAACGCACACTTTATAACGCGTCGTCTCTCCAAACTTTTCCAAAGTATCTGGAATGACCGGATCGTTCCCCTGAACAGAATCAAGGTGCATCTCAAACAGCTGCAGGCCCCCACGGCTGAATCGGACTGAAAGCAAGTCCCAGAGCACCGGCAGCAAATCCGCGAGGTTGAAGATCGACAGATCGGCGACGCGCAGTGCCTTGAGTGCAGGGAGCAGCGCATCTTTCTCCCCGCCAACAGGTTTGAGGGCTGCGAAGACGTCCCCTGGTTGAAGCGTGATCCAGTCCATCGAGAAGTCGACGAGACTGGGTAGAGCTTTGAGGACTGAGATAAACATATCGTTGGAAAGGTTCACAGCGCCGCACAGCCGGAGAACTCGGAGCTGGATGCCTTGGACAAACTCGGGCACTGGATAGAGCACCGTTTCCCCTGCCCTGCCCAGAGTGTGCAGACTGAGACCCTTCAGGCGGGGCAGCTGAAAACACTCCAAGATCTGCTCCAGGCACAGTTCGCGGTCGGCGAAAGTATGGACTGCAAACGTCGCGAACTCTACGTGCTCCAGGATGATCGGCGCCTCGAACGCCGGGAGCTCGCAGAACGCGACGTGCAGATCCACGACGTTCGTCAGCAGGCCGAGGATCTCCCACAGCCGGGCGTTGTCGCTCGGCCAGCCACAGTCGTCGTGGAACCGCGTCAGCTGCGCCCACGGCAGCGGCTCGAACATGGGCGCGTCGATGCTCAGCGTGAATGGGAACGCGTTGTTCGTGAACACCACCTCGCGCAGACGGGGGTAGTCGCTCGGCGCGCCCTGGCTCAGGTAATCGACGGCTTGCATGTTGAGGCAGTCCAGATACACCGTCCTCCATCGGCGCATGTGCTCTGAGAGCGTCTCCAAGAACAGATTCCCCATGATCCTTGTCGAGTTGTCGTAGACCACACGAAAAACCAGAGGATGCTCCCTGGAGCGTTCCAAATATGCCTCGAGCATGGATAGCGTGGCATTCCCGTCCCGCTCCTCGTTGCTCGACGTCAGCTCCAGATCCAGAGATGACCATAGCTGGGGGAAGGAGATTGCGGATCGGCGCCAGTGGCGGCAGACGTGCGTGAGAGTCCAAGGAAACTGAGCCCGGTCGCCCTCATCATTGTCGAACAAAGGAATCGAAGCGAGGAACACTTCGCTCAAGAGTTCCGCGGGCAGGGAGGCCATAGGGTGGTGGGGTTAATAACAATAGACACAAAGGCGTCTAAGGGACATGATCGCTATTGCAGAAACAGAATTTGACTCAATAGGTTAGGGTTTGAGCCGCCCAACTGGACTCTGCAGCTTCAAGCTTCATCTCTCGTCCACCGAATTTCAGAGTCATAGTCATGAACGCGTGGATACGAGCCGCAATAGCAAGATCCAGTGCGGCCGAGCTCGAAGTTGCAGAGGTCACCCCTCGTGAACACGCATCCCCCTGATAGATGGGATGCCCTCACATGTTTCTTGCCAGTCTGCTACCTTCACTTTCTCCGCCTCTTTCTCTCGCAAGATCACCGGGCCCCTGGAACTGAAATCATGAGAGAGAGGGTGACGATTCGCACTGCGGCATTCTGGTCAACGACTGGAGCGTTGATAGCGAGTCTCAGTCTCGAGGAACAACTTGATGCGACATACTTACTACGACTAGTACGACTATAACGCGTTGAGCCATGCCGCACATGTGGTTTTCATGGCTTTTCTATGGCTCGCTTCGACAATTCGCCCCTGACACGGAAGACAATGCGCTGATGGATGGCTTTCCAGACGGAGAGTCGCATAAATGCGGAAATGTACGACCCATTGCTTGCTTCACAGGACTGCGACTCCAGCTCTTCACCGTGCCACTTCATTGAACCGGTCCCTTATTCACCCCTCAATCTCTTCGAAGAAAGACGACCCCGCGCCGTGTGTGCTGCTGTCCATGGCGGCAGCTCCCCCGATGACAGCCTGCAGGCCCGCTCATGGTTCCGGACATCCCAGCGCGAGGCGGGCCGCGCCAGACGCACTGCGCAAGGTGGCAGGGAAAAAGGCTGTGTGTTTCGTGTGCCGCAGGACGTGCGTGCCCCCATCCCATCCGCGCGACCTACCAAGCAAATCATGACATTGTTCCCCCCAGTCTCTTCAGCTTACGGCAACGCAACATACATGTGGGCAACAAAGGCTGTTTGAGACGCGCGATTCAGATTGGACTCCCTGTGCCTGCGGATTTGGATGCCGAGAGAGAAAAGCACAAGCTGGACCACCTGCTCGACTGGAAGATTTCGGTTTCGTCGAGTATCTCACAGCTCCAGGCATCCGCTCTGTCGTCGCATACACACTCGAAAAGAATGGCATCTCTGCTGCAGCGGTACCAAGCGCTCCCATACCCGATCCCGTCCTATACGATTTGCCACCCAGAATCGCGTGACCCAAATCACTACTATCGCCCAATCGTGGCGCATATCCCAATGAGCTCGCGCGCTCCGCTGCCAATGATGCCCCCGGCAGTGCGGCCGTACCTCCTCGCACCGTCGATCCACACTGGAGTGTGGCCGACCGGGTGCCCTCTATTCGCACCGAAGCCGCGTCTGCCCATGCATGATACGGCTAAACAGCTCGCGTCCCTCGTAGAGCCCGAGTCCCCACCCTGCGAGGATGCGGAGACGCCCGCTCAGGTCTGGTATGGGCAGGCCATGCCCATGTACGAGATGGATCAGTCTATGATCGGTTGTTTGTGGTAGCCATTTGCCGTGTACGTAGTTAACCGGTGTGCGAAATCAGATCGGTACGCGTGATCGCGTCTGCAACATTCCCGTTGATAGCCCATCAGCGGCGGTGTCGGTTTTGATCTGGTCCAGAGGGCCGTACAGTATGTGCTTGAGTGGCCAAAAGCCCGGACATTCTCCCCTCCCCAGCTGAACTTGGTTCCTGGGCCGCGGAGACGGCCTCACCACGGCCAGTTTGTGAGACCCGAAATAGGAGAGAGCGCGGAACGGAAAGTGGTTGACACAAGCAGCATTGTCTTGATCTCGCATTTAATATAGACCAGATACTGCTACTGTGAAAGTCTCTCATCCGAGCACACATGTCTGCACGCCGCTTCTCGCTCCCCTTCGATACGTTCAAGCTCCCACTCCCAACAGGGCGCCGGGCATCATGCTCGTCCACCCACCCGCCGAGGGTCAAAGCCGCAGGCGAGGCTTGGGATTGTCTCCCCGGCCAACCATCCGCGCGCCGAAAATCGTCCTTGAAACGGGCGTCCTGGTCGTCTGCAACCTCTTCGTCACCGTCCATGGGGGATTCGGGGGATGGGTCCAGCGCAAGCTCTGATTGCTCACACGACAGCGCAGGGGCGTCCAAATGGCCGCTCATCCCGCCGACAGAAACTAAAATCCACTCCCGGCTGGCTGACCGGGGTGCGCTCCGTCCCCTCTCTTCCTGTCCCTGCGCATATACTGACCACCACGCAGTGGTCCCGCGGGACGCACACCCGCTCACGCACCGCATCATCTTGCACGTCCACTCGCCGAAGCCCCTCCCGCGGCACACATGCACCCTCCCGGTCGACGGCGCGCCACCGATATGCGACATGGCCGCGCTGCCTGTGGGCGTGTCGCTCCAAGACGACTGGGACTTCGATCTGCGTCCGGGGGAGGCGCCGAACGTCAGATTCCTGACGCCGCCCGTGGAAGGATTTGACGACTCGGTTGCGTGTCACGAGATGAGAGAGCTGTATGTAGACTGGGACTGACTGGCTTGCTGATGTCCATGGTCCTAGTATACGTACGTCTGTACTCATGTACTACCTGGTCTTGGGCTCGGATGGTGAGATCACCGACTTCCGCAAACAGCAAGCGTCTTACCTTGAGCGGAACGCCGGGCCTGGCCCGGGCCGCGTGGTCGAGTGCTACGCGGATTCATTGGTACTGTGATGGTGGGTGTCTACAGAATCATTATGTAGGGACGGGATGTAAATAGATTATGGCGTGCGTAATGGAGAGTAAAAGGATAAAGTAAGTCGTAATCGGTCGTCAGAATGAATCCAGATCATAGACCTGCGGCGTTGCTCTGACTCATCCACGTCAACGGATCCCAGTCCGAGTAGTCTGGAGCGGGATAATCGACTGAATCCTCAGTCTTCCACGGAAAACTCAGAGAATCGTTTGTCGGAAGGTCGTTCGTACTGGGGGCGTCGGGGATCGTGCACGTAAGGGAGTCCAGGAACGCCTGGAGAGGATCGGAAACGGGCTGAAGAGCGCAGTCGTTATCGAATTGACTCGATCGAGTCATCTCCCAGGACCACAGCGCGTCCTCAAAGTCTGACCGAACGAGACGAGTCGTCGATGTCAGCTCGAGCGGACCGGAGGCAGCTTGAGCAGCAGAACTACGCGCTACGCTGCGGGCCGTGGGTCTCTCATGCACCGCCGAAGTCGTTTGCCTGGGAATACCAGCGGCAGGCAGTGGCAGCGCCTGTGCCCGATCGGGTGTCCGAAGCGGTGCTGGAACAGACAAAGCGCGATGATGGTCCTCCGTGAGCCGGAAACTCCCCCGCTCGGTCTTCCCTTCTTCACCAGAGGGGACATACACGTTCCACAGATAATCAGCGCCGTGTCGAGGCGGCGGCGTGCGCGGGGAGCCAGCCGATGCCACCGGGGACGCATCCGAGCTACTCGGCGAGCCAGTCGTCCTGTCCCCGTCCAGGTCCACGACGGACACGGACACAGACACGGAATGCGTGCCGGCAGGACCAGCGGCCCCCCCAGCCACCGCGCCGGCGTCCTTGAGCGCAGCCTGCACACGAAACTCGGGCACGATGCTGCACCGCGACCCGTACAGCTCGCGGAACGGGTTCGCCCAGTACCACTCCCTCATGCGCGCGAGCTCGTGCTGCGCGACGGGCCGGTCGATCAGCCGCGCCGCGATCGCGCGCTGGATGCAGCGCGCGTTGCCGACGTGCTTGTTGCGCGTCTTGCGGTCCTTGTACCTGATGAGTTCCGCCCGCATCGGCGCATGAGAACTCCACGCGTCGGGGGGAGGAGGGGAGGGCGGGCTTACCCTCCGTGGCATATGTAGCACGCTGCGGTGTACACCCTCTCGCGCTTCCGCGCGGGCGCCTCATCGTTTTCGTCCTCCGCCTTGCGTTTCTTAGCGTCGGCACCGGCACCAGACGTTGTCATTGTTGTCGTCGCAGCTGCTTCCGGAGCAGGGGTCGTGTCGTCTTGCGCCGTGGGCGGTGATGCTGATCCCGACACGGATTCAACCGTGGCTAGAGAATGGACGCGTGCGAGGCCAGCTTGCATCGCGCGTAGTTGGAAGAAGGGGGGAAAAGACAGAGAAAGAACAGAAAGAGAATATAATAAACCCGTCTTCTTTGCATGACATGTTTAATCGGTGGTCCAAGTGGCTGATGGGTACATGCGCGATGATCGATCAATGATCATTGTTGTTGTTGTCCTAAGAAGGCGGGATTGGCGCTCCGCATCGTGACCTTGGAACGGAAGCAGCACTGAAACCCGAGGCCAACCCGGGGGTTAGAGAGTCACCGTTTTGCACGACGCGAGTTCCACTTTCACATGTCTTGGAGGATTTTCAAAATTGAGGGAATTGAAAGGAAGGACAGAACAACTTGAACCCCGAGTGTGCATGTTGTGTGCTATCATAATCCCTGGATGTTTTGAGAATCCCAGCCAACCCTTCAAGTTGGCCATTTGGGTGGAGCTTCATTTTTTCTCAAACTGGTTCTGTTCGCTAAATATTCACGGCAATCTTGTCACTTGCGAACACCAAGAATTCAGGAGGCACATCTTACTGTAGAATCCGAAACAGAGTCCGGAACGTCAACAGTACCCGCTCAAAATATCATCTTGAGTGCTGTGGCTTACTGTGAGTTGACAAATGTCCAAATTCTCATGTACAATCTCCTAACAAATATCGGATATCTTCCGCCGGCTCGGAGCGTCAGCGTCTCTCACCTAGATCGATTCAGGTTCGCTGGATGCCTGCTCCTCAACAAACTCCCCCAGCGGTTCTAGCTCCCGGTTCCCGGAAATCTCCACCCCCGAGCTTATTTCCGGGGGAACTAACGAGCGTCCGCCCGGGTCGCAGTTGGACCCATCGACCACACACTCGTAGGGTAGAGTGTGTACATACTTAGGCCCATACGGCTAGCCAATTAATGTAACAGAGAGATGTCCATTTATCGTCTGAGCGACAGCCTCCGGAAACAGGTTCGTTTGATGCGCCATCCAGCGGCGGTGGCAAATGATGGGCGGCGGTGATGGATGACGATGATGAGATGTGTACCCGAATCATTCCTTCGCGACCTGGAATTCACTCCGACGTCACTGGTGTTGAAGGCTCCAAAACCAGCAGAATGCGATAAATACGTATGTACAGGGTTACATTTATTTTGGTGTTTCATGATCATCTAGGATTCAGATTAAGAAATTGTATCTAGGAGAAGACGGTAGGTAAAATTAAGTGCGGTGGACGAAGGTAGAATATGATAATGATAGCGGAGAAGAAAGGGAAGGCTAGGCAGTAAGGACAGAGGTCAGAAGTCCGCTCGGAAGTATATGCAAGAGGGGGGCTGATCGTAATCGTAGCAATTCATGGGTCACGGACAAGACAAGAAGGAGAGAGAAACCAAAAAAGAGAAAGACAAGACGAAGAGGAGAGAGATAGAGATAGTGAGAGTGAGAGTGAGTATGAGGTAAAAAACGGTGTGGTGGTGGTGGTAGTACAGCAAAGTCCGTGGAGAAGAGATGTGGTTGGTGTGCGAAGTACAACACCCAGCGGCCGCGCTGGGAAAAGCAAGCAAGCAAGTCGTCGTCGCCCGTCGTCGTCGTCATGCTGATCGTGCATCATACATCGGGCATCCCTTCTTCAGGCTGTCACACACTCGCTGAGCCGCGTCGGGACGTAGGGCCGCCCGCCGCACTCGTCCTCGTACCCGTTCACGCGCGACGCCGCGCGCGACCCGCATACGGACCGCGGCCGCCCGACGGCGTTGATGCGGTTCAGCAGCGTGCGCGCGAGCAGCCGCGAGCGTGAGTCAGAGGAACTGTAGTGCCGCGCCATATAAGGCGTCGGGGCCCCGGGGCATGGGCTGCCGGGTTGCGGAGCGAGTGCGGGTTTGGTGTGGCGCGGGGGTGCGGAGCAGGAGGAGGATGGAATAGAAGGGAGTTGTAGGGACATGGATGCGAGGGAGGCACGGGTGCATCCTGAGCCCGCTGAAAATGAGGGTGAACGTCGGCGGCCGCGCACGACCGGTGCAGCAGGCAGAGACACTGGCTCGGCCACTACTGCTGGTGCTGCTGCGGGCTTGTTTTGTGCATTGGCGTCTTCGCAGAATGGGTCCAAGCGTCTCGCGGGGAGGCGCTGCGGATGCTGCTGTTGCTGCTGTTGCTGCTCGTGGGAGGTCGAGCTTGGCGGTGCCGCTGTCAAGCTGAGAAGCTTGAGCCGGGGTTTTTGCGGCGGCGGCGGTGCGAGCTTCGGTGCCTCTAGTGTGTAAAAGGTGGCTTTGGGGAGGTCGAAGGTGAGAGTGCTAGACCGTTTGGTGTTCCATGCTGCACCGGACGTGTGCAGAGGGAGTGGGGTCCAAGGAGAAGAGAGGACGGTGAGGGTAATGGTCGCCATTGGAAGAGAAAAGTGGGAGAAAGAGAAACAGCGACGACCGTGCTCGTAAGGGCTGAGAAAAGGGAGGGAGCTGGCTGGACTGGCAGGCAGCGGCGGAATGAGGGAGAAGCAACCCTGCGTCAGCCGTCGCTTTTGAAGCGATCGATCGACGGTCGCCTAACCGAGAAGGGCAACGAGCCGGATCACTTCGGCACGTGTTCCTGTCCCCCTTCAAACGTCGACTTGAATTTCGCATGCTTCGCTCTAGCCCCATTTTGGGATGAAGTGAACTCTTGTGCCCAACTGAGCAACGCCCGAGCTCATTGTTCTCCGCTCCGTTCACTTTCGCCGTCCGGAGCCAGGATGATCCTCGCAGTTCAGTTCCCTATCAGCAGCAGCAGCAGCAGCAGCCAGTCGGCGTCGCATCAGAGCGACTGACGTCGGTGTCACTGTGTGTCACCGTCACCATGCAGCAGTGTCATCCCGACATCTGTACGTCCCCCGCCATCTCGAGGGCTCTCTCGCACAGCTCAGATCGTATACATACATATGTTATTACGCACACTGCACCGCCCTTGGCGGCATGCATGTGCCAACGGAGCCACCCTCCGCATCCATTTTGCCTGAAGCGGAAGATCCAAATCCGCGGGGGGCCTCCCTTGCTCCACACTCCATCCGCTACGTAGTTGCGTTACTTGGCGACCGCGCGCAAGCAAACCCGCACAGTCCAGCCTCTATCCTCCTGGCTTCACGGAATGCAAGCTCTGGCATCCCCGGCCCTTACGCAACGCAATGCAACGCAACGCAACATTCATCTTTAATGCAAGCTACGACGAGTCCGGCCGGGGGTGCCTCAGTAGGGTTACTTCCGGACTGTTTGTTATTTGCACACCAGACCTATGCTTCGCCCGCCCGTCCGTCCGTGGTTCCTGGTCGAACCGAAACTGGGCGTGTGCCGCTCCGGATCCTTGTTTCGCGAGCCGCGCTATCACCGCGCGGGGATGCTTCTCGTCTGCCTCGCGGCCCATCGGATTTTCGATTCGTTGTTCTTCCCAACCCGACCCTCTGCATGCCCTGCTGTTTGGCGCGCATCAATTACATTGTCTGCTCGTCCATTGTTCCCGAACAGGAAAGTGCTCGCCCTCTGGCAATTGTCCTGCGGCTAGGGACAATTAGCCAGATGCTCTGCAGTCCTCGCGTCGCGCGCGGACATCGATCTGTGGATATGCGCGGCCCTGCCTTCTTGCTTTTTATCTGCAGCTCCACTGCGGCCTCGCTGTCGCGCCTCTTGTTGTCCTTGTTCTTGTCTTTCCCAATCCTGCGCTGCAAGCGAAGAACAATGCGTGGGAAGCAGAGGTGGCCTGCGCACATGTACTTCTCGATCTGCGGCTCCGTCATCTGGCTGGGCGTTCTTTGTCTCGGATGCTGTTCATCTTCGCTTGGCTGCACTTCCTCTTGTTCCGCCTGCGGGCATCGGACCGCATACGTACCGTCGACATACAGTACATTGCGTGTCGACACTTTATTCCCGTTGTCGCCGAGTCCGGTCTTGTCACTCCAACTGAGGTCTCGCAACAAAGATATCTCGCAGAAAGCACATTCGCGCACCAGTTCTTACAGTACTCAAGCACGATAAGCAGCAGCACCTGATGACCCCGAGGTTCTTGATTATGCTCTGCAAGGTTGATCATCGATTCCACGTTTTCTGATTTCCTCGTCCGCGGATCCAGCACCGGACGACGCTCTGCACCCGCACCGCGACCACACCGATCCCCACTCAATCAATCATCAATCGTCAGCCGGTCGCAACAAATCGAGCGTCGTCGCGCAGATCCCGCGTGCTCTGTCCCCGTGCACCGGCTCCATGATCCATGCGCTGCCGGTTGCATCAGCCCCGCATCCATGGCGCGGCACCCGGCTGCGCTCGCCAGCCATCATCGGGCGCCCCCGAGACGAACCTGGCGTACGCGACGCCTGACTTGACTATGCCGTTGGTGTTACGGCCACTGGCTCAGTGCTCTGACGCGAGAGGACACCGCCCGGGTCCGGCAGTCTCGCACTCCGACCCGACTCATGCTGGCTGCGTTCGTGATGTTACGGAGGTCGGGGCGCGTTACTTGCCGGCGTGATGGGACCCAGCTCCAGGGAGAATCCGGAGATACATATGCTGCGCATCAGTGGCATGGTATCGTGGAGCATTCGATCAGTGAGTCAGTGAGTGAGTGACTGGGTGAGTGAGCAACCCACGATCGGGCGATGCGGAGGGCGGTGCCGGACAGGACCTAGCCACGGAGAGAGCTTCAAAGACGTCACCGAGTCCGCGCCCGCGCCGTTCTGGAGAGCAGGCTGGGCTGCCGTCGGGGAGACCGGAATGCTGCGGGGTGCTGATATTCCGGCCACGACCGAGCGACGGTTCCAGTAATTACAGTATGCATTTCTCCATGGACCATGGACACGCTTTCCTGTGCCTGGTCGACGGCGCCGAGTGCGAGCTTGGGCGGCGCTGAGGTCACTGGCTGCCGTAACGTCCTCCAGGGTCAGGATATTAGCACCGGGGGTCCGGCAACGGCAGACCTGATGATGACGACTTACGGTACTTACGCGAGGTAAGCGATCCCCAGGCTTCGGCAAACCTTACTTACTTACTGACGCGTAATCGGAGGATGTGTCTAAATCAGTCTTCAGACCGGACTGCCTCCCTCTCCCATCTACCCTGCTTTGACCGACTGCGCAGCCCAATCAGGTGCGCGCACTTACTCGCACTGCTCTTCTCGAATACTGCAGCATCTTCATGATCCGACGGCAGCCCCCCTCGAAAATAACACGGGATCTCTTATTTATACTCCGGCGTCCAATTGGCTCGATAGGGCCGGAGTGCCCACCGCGTAGTTCATCGATACTGTACAGCATCTTTCCGTCACATGAGCCTCTCGTCTTGAAATACGTGTCAGAATTGCTTCTTCCACGGGTTAGAATGACGGCAGCCAAGTACCCTAACTGGGAGAACAAGTTGTCAATAGGAGCGAGCACCCGTCTCATGCCTGACGGACTCGGGCGTTTCTGATCAGGCCGCCGCGCGTAGAGCAAGAAAATTCAAGTGTCAGTCCTTCATTTTCATCTCAGTTGGACATCGAGTGCTGATTCTGAGAAGTCTTCCGATAGAAATATGTGTGCAGTGTTTTAAATTTACATTGCCAAATCGGTGTCTTCAAATTAAACCGGCCTCAGATCACGTGCATCCTTTGTTGAAGACCGCCCCGCCTGGAAGCCATGTTGAAAGTGTTCTTTCTATCGAATCGCGCCTTGTGAGGCATTCGACGGCACATAATCATGCTGGTGATATCCAAATCAAGATAATGACCGCTGCACCGGCAGCAAGTTGCCCTCTACATAACCCCACTTTTGTTCTCGTGACCTCAGGCTTCATGGCCCAAGGGCGAACCAACGCTCTCATGTGCCTTTGAGGGTCTCGGGTCCGACGGCCGAGTGTTAGGCAGGGCTTCTCTACAGCCGCGTCAAGTCCGCTCGATTCCTCACGCTCCAATCGATACAAAGGCCCCTGTCTTCGCTCGCTCTCCCGCGCACACGCACAGTAAAGATGAGCCCTCCTGCGACTCGGACGTTCCGCATCGTGTGCATCCCCGGCGACGGAATCGGGGTCGACATCACCGATGCGGCCGTGCAAGTGCTCACGACGCTCGCCGCGACGTACGGCACCTTCGCGTTCACGTTCGACACGCTCGACTGGAGCTCGAGCAACTACAAGGCGCGCGGGTACTACGCGCCGGAGGGCGGCGTCGAGGGGCTGAAGAAGTACGACGCGATCTATTTCGGCGCGGTCGGGTGGCCAGGTGCGGTGCCTCGCGCCTTTATCACGCCATCCGCTCATGATCACGACGAACCACACCCACACAGACGTGCCGGACCACATATCGCTGTGGCAGATGATCCTCCCGATCCGCACGACGCTCGACCAGTACGCGAACGTGCGCCCGACGCGCATCCTGCGCGGCACGGCCTCCCCGCTCGCCGCGTGCGCCGCGGACCCGGGCCTGCTCGACTGGGTGATCGTGCGCGAGAACAGCGAGGGCGAGTACGCGGGGCACGGCGGGACGACGCCGTCGAGCGCGCACGCCGCCCACACCGTCGCGACGGAAGTGAGCATCTTCACGCGCGTCGGCATCGAGCGCATCATGCGCTTCGCGTTCGAGACGGCGCTGAGCCGCCCGCGGAGGAAGCTGACGATGGTCACGAAGAGCAATGCGCAGCGCCATGGGATGGTGCTCTGGGACTCTGTGTTCCACCAGGTCGCCAAGGAATATGAGGGGCGGGTCGAGTACGATAAGATGCTCGTCGACGCTATGACAGGTGCGCATGCGCCCCGCTGGGGTTGGTTGGTTTCTGTTGTGTGCTGACTCAGCCCGGGCAGTGCGGATGGTCAACCGGCCCCAGAGCCTCGACACGATCGTCGCGACGAACCTGCACGCCGACATCCTGAGCGACCTCGCCGCCGCCCTCGCCGGCAGCATCGGCATCGCCCCGAGCAGCAACCTCGATCCCACGCGCCGCTTCCCCAGCATGTTCGAGCCGATCCACGGCAGTGCACCCGACATCGCCGGGCAGGGCATCGCGAATCCCGTCGGCGCGTTTTGGAGCGCGGCGGAGATGGTCCGGTGGCTGGCCGGCTCCGATGGATCGAGCAACAGCGTCGGGATAGTCGAGGGGCCCGGTGTCGGGAATATGGTGGCGGCAGCCGATTGTCTGATGCAAGCCATCGAAAACGTCACCGGGGCTGGGGTAAAGACAAGGGATCTGGGAGGATCGCATGGGACAGCGGAGGTGACGGAAGCTGTATGCGCTGAAATCAGTCGGGTGTACGCACAGAAATTGTAGCTCACTTATGCATTACGTGGAATCATACCACCAAGAGCGGTCACGTTGATCTGCCGGACGACCCAGAGCCCCGTAAATAAAGTCGAATCTCGGATCCTCTCCACCTCCTTCATCTGCCGCTCGGTCACAGTCACGATCTCGACCGCTCTCAGCTCTCCAATGACATCCGGTGCGATCCGATGGCCCGCGAGACGCGAGCTGATCATGTGCTCGAGCTCGCCGTGCGTCACAAACGGGCCCAGCTGCAACTCGAGGCGTTCCAGCCAGGGACACAACAGGACGGGGTCGCCGCCTCCCGCGGGCGGATACGCCAGCGCGCGCAGGAACGAGTTGTCGATGGGCACCGGCGTCCCGGGGATGTCCGACGCGATGGACAGCGCGGTGAGCGAGGGCGACAGCCGGAGCAGCACCGCGGCGATCTCCGCGTGCGCCAGGCGCGAGACGAACAGGTCCCGGAGCGAGAGCGTTCTGAGCGCGCACCCCGAGCGCGCGAGGAAGCGCATGAACTGCGCGTGGTCCCACCGCATCGTGATCGAGCGCGTCCCGAGCTCCAGCGACTGCAGCGCCGGCGCGACGAGCAGCCGGATGAGCCGCTCCACGCCGTGCTGCGACGCGAGCTTCAGCGCCGCAAGGCGCGGCATGAGCACCGGCAGCAGCGGGTCGAAGCCCGGCAGGACGCTCTGCAGCTGATGCCGCACATCGAGCAGGTGGCACTCCTCCAATGCCGGGCTGGACTGCAGCACAGACAGACACGCGAGCTCGGACAGCTGCGCTTCGAGCCGCAGATACGTGAGCTGTCCCCACGGCACGTGAGACAAGTACTGCGGGGGCAGCTGTCCCCGGTGCATGGTCAGCGACCGCAGGTTGGGCGAACGGTCTCCGGATATGACGTGCGCCAGCCAGGGGATCGTGAATCCCACAGCCGGTGATGGAGGCGACCAGGACGAGGGGCTGAGCTCGAGGCGTTCGAGCAGCGGCGCTCCTTGCGATGTCAACGCAGCGTGGACGCACGCTGGCGATGCACGGCTCTGCAGATCCAGCGACACGGCTCTCCAGCGATGCAGATGGCGTAGGAGGAGCTCCATGACAGACCCGACTCTGCCCTGCTCCGCTCTCGTGGTCTTCGATTCTGGCCGACCCGTCACCACAGATAGTGTCAAGGGATGCGCTTTAGAGAGATCCAGGAACCGGTTGATCACTGTTTCGGGAGGAGAGGACGACGGATAGTCTACCACGACCTCGAATGTCGACCAGAGCAGAGATATGTTGAGGGACACCTCTCTCCACTGTTTGCACGTCTGTGAGACATTCAACGGAACGTCGCAGCGCGTTTTCGGATATAAAACGGGACCAGAAACACAGTGGGTGAAAATCACTTCGAGCAATTCGGGTGGAAGGTCGCCGATCGACATGAGAGCGGCTGATCAACGTTCAACGGCAACAGTTACATAGACTATCGTCTGTAATGATCTGTAACAACCACGTGGCTGCATGTCACGCCGCGTCCATCTTCTCGCCGCTGTTTTCCGACTGAACATTCTGATGCTGGGTGGCAACACGGCCAATGATTGGTCGTGTTCGCGACCAAAATTTGGCTCTGCCTGTGCCGCAAAGCTCCAGCAGAGGTTGCGGGCGCAATTGTAATTCCATGCAGGACAGAACACGGGGGCACCATTCTTCGTCACTTTCCACCATAGTCGGCAAGGTCCGATTGCCTTATGGGCAAATCCTAATAAATGGATGCGTTGATATATGTATGCGCTATGCCAAAAAGCTCTAGATCATCTCCTCTGCCGTAGAACCTTGCCTGTCTTCACGACCTGTCCTTTCGATTTCTTCTCGGAATCTTTCAGCAGTTTTTTCTCCTTCACTTGGCGCAGATGCTTGACAGTCAGTACCCAGTCGGAGGTGTCCAGTTCCTCCCTGCCCTCGTTGTACAACTGCTGCTCCTCCTGCGCGCTGAGCAGAGCCAGTGACTGCCGCCTGCCGTTGCGCCAGAGGATGATTTGCACGAGAGCTTGAGGCAGCAGAACGTCCAGACAGTACTGATGAAGTCTGTTCGGCAACCTTTGCGTGTGTAGGAGCGATGAAACTTACGGAAAGCTTGTCCACCTCGGTGAGGCTCTCGAAACCCTCGCAGCCAGTCTGTGCCATCGGCCGTTCCGGCATGGCCTCATCCTGTCTGACACTCAGCGCCGTCCTCATGCATGAGCCGGATAGAAGATCGATCTCACCTCGTCGCCCGCGATCGTAAAGGACGAAGTGGGCGGGTCCAATACAGGCGAGGATGGTTGCCCCACGTCCTCTGTCGGTGTAGGTGAGGGTGCACTGTGCGGGACGCTTGCAGACTGGAGTGTGTGTGAGCTTGATACGTTGGATGTTCGTATGACAAGGGTACCTCAGAGTCACGCTCTTCTCTGACCTGCTGATCCACATGTCGACTGTTTCGCTCCGGCCGCACGCACCATTCCACTATCAGTTTCCCTAGCTTCTCGACCTGTCTCGGATCCAAAAGTCCACGGATCGACGCTTTCTTGGCCAGAGCCAGTCTCGTGTTGCCCCCCGCTAAGAAGTGCAGATGAGCCTCGCGCGCGGGGGCATATTCATCCCTGAGGATAGCCTGCAGAACAGGTTTCGTATGCACGAATTGCTGCCGCAGGTCCAGAGCCGAGAACGTCGGTCCGTCGGGCGGGGGATCAAGAGGCTGGGGACTGCTTTCACGTGTCCAAGAATCCTCCTCCCCTTCGTCCTCGGCGTCCGCGTCATTGACGGCGTCCGTGACCTCACTGGCGAAAGTGCCCAAAAAGCATGTCCCAAAGCCGGGCTCGTCGAAAGTGTAGAAGAGATCCCGGGTGATCGAGGAACGTGATGCGTCCACCCACTGGACGTGGTATCGTGGTGGTGCTGACGGTTTCGAGGGGGGTTCGTATTTGAGTATCTGAGCCGGCCAGTATTTGTTGCTCGCTGCTGTTTCGCGGGCGTAGACGAGCTCCCCTGGTATATCCAGTGTTTCGTCAGGTGGAGGCGGGACATAAGCAGCTTTCTCCGAACGAATCGACTGGGGTCGAGTGGTTGTTGGCTTTTCCCTCTGAGAAATTGAAGCCCTGTCTTGCGATCCCGACTGGTATCCGGGAATATCCCGGGTACTCTGCATGAATTGCACACTCGGAAAGTGATTGGACTGGACTTCGTGCACGGCCCTAGATACTGCAAGTTGCCATTGCGCCTCCAGGTTCATCTTCTGTCGTTTTTTTGGGGACTCATCCGATGACGGTTTCGGATACGCCGCGTCTTTCGGTTCGCAGAAACGGATCGCGCGGTCAGAGTCGAATTCAACGTAGTAGTCCTCCGAGGGCGGGGCGGGCAGCTCGATTACACGGTCCTCCGCGCGCTCGCCGATGCGCTCGAACAGCAGGACACGGAAAGGCGTCCTGTTCAGCTCCTGTGAGACGTCAGTCGACGCGACATTCGCGTGCGGGAAGGCGGCGACGCACGCGACACGGCCACCACATCCCACTCTCATCCCTCGGAGCGAACACGTCTCCGTCGTGGTTGACCAATATCCAGCCAAACTGGGGATCTCCGCCCGGGGAGATGGAGCGGAAAGCACTGTTCCGGAGGGTGCGCGCTGCGTTTATGGGCGAGGGGGGATTGGAAAGCGATGTGAGGCTGGAGTCCCTCCCATCCGACGCGCGCGAATCGAGAGACACCGGTCGTTTTCTCCCCGATGCCGAGCGCGGACGCTGAGTGGCGCTAGCGCTGGCAGGGATGCCGCTTGCGGACTTGACGGACTTCTGCTTCAAGTTCGGACGGCTGGGTGCTCGTCTGACCGGTTTCGCTGGCGAGGGCGGGGGATCCGAGCGCGTGGGCGACGAGTTCAGTTGGGACTCGAATTTTGTGGAGGCTTGTCTTGCCGCTTGACGAGTGGCACGAGAGCCAGATGTCCGTTCAGCGCCAGACATGTGGGGAAGGAGAGATGGATGACCTCGGTTAGCGGCAAGTCAGCGATGCTTCTGCCGAGTGGACACCATGAAAGGTCCAACTAAGCATTTGGCAACCACAATCCAGATGTATTATTTGCTTGTCCATGTAATTATGTTTCAAGGACTTCATGTCGAAGCGCGTCTACGTGTCTATATATCGGTGGCTCGAAAGGATCCAATCCCCCATGTGTTCATTGGGGGTCCAGGCTCTGGCCATCGGAAACCACATCCACGTCCTTGGAGGATCAGATCTTTGCGCAGCTGTACTATGGCTTTCGTTAACAGGCCAAGTCGTAATTCAGCCCGATGTCTCGACAAGTATCAAGCAACGATCATGAGACACTGTGCATCACTATAGATGACAGCCCATTCCGTTTTGCGGGTCCAGGATCACGGAAGCATCTGGGGGACTAGAAGTCCTTGCGCGGGTACGATTGCGCAAGGTATTCTAGCGGGTGATAGCAATGTGCAGTCACTTTCGAAATACTCGCCGCAGCTAGTGGCCCTGTCGCCTCGAGACAAGCCATTAGATGTCGAATGAGAAACATCTAGTTCCTCTCGGTATGCACCGATGTTTGACGGCCGAAATGAGCTCGCAGACAGCAGAAGGAGCGATGAGTGTGAAGAAGTCGACACAGGGAAGCCGTGACGTCGACGGGCAGGGACTCAGGGAGCAATCCCAAGGACTAGAAGCAGTCGGCACGAAGATCGATGGGGTTGAGGAGGTTATAAGCTGGCTCTAGCGTGCCCAGAAAGCTTATTCTTTCTAGCTTTGTTCAAATTTTCGTCGTGAGCGTTCGTCATAAACTGTAATCGACTCTGTTTGGACTTGTGTTCCTGGCTGACAGTCGTCTCCAGGGCGTTAACCTTTCTCCGACTGTGACGACAACGGCGGCGAGGTGAAAATCGAGTGTCAGGCGAATATTCAGCGGCTCGTCCTCACCTTTACATACAACGATGTCGCAGCCCAGCCAGTTGCCTGCTACTCCCGGCTCACTTCCGAATTCGAGCGGGGTCCGCAGACACCATACGATCTCGGCTGCTTCCAGAGCAGCACGCAACAGCGCCATATCGGAAGAAGCTGCTCAAGAGCAGCACTGGAACGATGACGATGAGGCTGTCGGAGAGGACTGGGTAGGCGGCGTGGGTGCTGTGGGCGAAAAATCGGGACTCCACCGGCAGGCTTCTCTCCCGACAAGATACCACCGAGGTAGCTCATTGCACTTCCTATTTTTCTGTGAGCTCCCATCTATTTTCAGCCTTCCAACCTCAGGTTTCTGCGCTCTCGAGGTCCGGAAGTTTGACGGCCAAGAACAGTTTGAGTGCCATCGCCGGGCATGAAGGCGATGAAGACGATTGGGAGGGCGATATCCCCTATGCAGTGGAAGATGTGAGTCTGCAAGCCCCTTCAAGTCCCAGCATCATTTGAACTCGTGTGCGGCAGAGTCATGTCACAGGAGAAGAATTGGATCCCACCTCTCCTCTTTCCCCGCATGACGGCCCTTCCCCACCGGCTGCTGGTGCCGGTGTCCGCCGTCACCAGTCTCTTACATACGGCGCGGCTGCTCGCCAAGCACAGAAGATACCTGTGACAGGCCTCCGTCGGTCTGGAACGTTGCAGACCCCCCTGCCTCCCCATCCTCCACCTGCCAATGCGACAGAAGCTCTCGAACAAGAGCAGGAGGAATTTGTTTATCAAGATGATCCAGGCGACTTCGACGAGTCTGAATATTATCCCAAACAAGCTGGTCCCGCCAGTCCCGTCAACCGTCTCTCGCCCTGGTCAACGAATGCCGGTGACTGGCGCGCCCCGAGCAACGGTTTCGCACCAGCCAACGTCGATGATGTCCAACGGGCTCTGTCTGCATTGGAAATTGGGGCTGGGTACGCGGGCAACGGGAACGCATACGTTGGCGGCCAGAGCACCCATCCTCCTCGATTCAACCCAGCACACCCGCCTCCAGCTCAGGCGCCGGGCATGCGAAGTGCCGGGGGCGGGAATGGGAACGGAAATACCGGGAACGGCAATGGGGGCCGTAAGATGGGAGAATTCGACGGCCGCAAGACACCGATTGGGCAGCAGCAGCAGCAACAGCAGCAGCCAGGACCTCCGTATCAGCCGTACAGTGGTGCCTGGGACCAGCAGAAGGACCCGTCGTTGCGCTTGCGCACGTCCAATCCGAACCTCCGATACAGCTATCAGCAACAGCAATCCAGTAAAGACCAACCGGTGCCGCCCATCCCCGCACAGTACATGCAACCACCTCGGCCAACGCAGCAAAACTTTGGCGGCTCCCCTGTCGACGTGCCTAGCCTTATCGCGGCGAAAGGCTACAACCCAGCGACGTTCGAACTTAGGCCACAGTACGCCCGGTATTTCGTGATCAAATCTTACACGGAAGACGATGTGCACAAGTCTCTTAAGTACGAGATTTGGAGTTCGACGGAGCCTGGCAACAAGCGGTTGGACAAGGCATTCAAGGAGTGTAACGGACGAGGCCCAATCTACCTTTTCTTCAGCGTGAACGCGAGGTGTGTAATGTTAGGTGTAGTCACGGTCAGATGTTGACCTCGCACAGTGGCCACTTCTGCGGTATGGCAGAAATGCTCACGGCTGTAGACTACACGCGAAGCAGTACTGTCTGGGCATCTGACAAGTGGAAGGGCGTTTTCAAAGTCCGTTGGATATACGTTCGCGATATCCCCAACTTGAATCTCCGTCATATTAAGCTCATGTGAGTGCCTTTTACAGTACCCGGTTGTCCGCTTGAACTAAGACCATTCAGGAATACAGCTGAACGAAAACCCGTCACGAACTCGCGGGACACACAGGAGCTGCTTGCTGAAGCAGGGCAAGAAATGCTTCGGATCATCCACACGCACCCTGCCCGGACTTCTCTGCTGCAGGACTTTGCGTTCTATGAGGTATGCCGCAGCCGTGCTCCAAGTCATTCTCAAATCCTCACACTTTCTTCAGCTCCAAGCGATGCAAAAAGTGGCGCAAGGGAGTCCTTCGCCCAGTAGCCCGACGAGCAGTGCTGGGGCACCGACACATTCTCCACAAATGTCACCGCCGATGGCTCCCGCTCAGTTCCCGCTGAACCCAAATGCATTTATGGTGCCGCAGATGACGCCGATGGTGCAAATGCAGCTCATGGGGATGAACATGGGCATGGGTGCCGCATCGAGCCAGTTCCAGGCGATGCACCAGAGTGTCATGCGGCACCCAAGCCCTGGGCCCAGCGGAGAAGGCTTTGGCCACAACGGGTTCTGATTTGTCACGACCGAACTGCACGAACCGTCATGTTCTCTTCTTGCTTTCCCATCTATGCCAACGAACACAATAATGTATGCACTTTGTATCTGCACGGAAGGACTGGTTACCGGAGCTACTTACAAGTGTCTCGAATGCTGTACCACCACCTGCTTGTAATATTTCATGCCTTACAGTACTTGTGAGCTTATATGCCCTGGATTCCGACGCTCCTGCGCTGCTTAAAAACTAAATTTAGAAGACCGTCCTACGCGACTGAATTGATTTATGTGTTCACATCCAGGATCTCTGCACGTGATCGCGATCAAGCAAGCACGTTTTAGATCCTCGCCGGCCACTTCGCCTTCTAAAATTACACCTTGCCCGCTCTCCACTGCGAACGTGGCTTGGGATGATGCGCTGTGCACCCACACTACCGTTGTCGGTGGAGTTCAAGGTCTGAATAAGGAAAATCAGCGATGGCATCACTAAGTAGTTGGGGTCCTTCTCTTGGCTGGCAACCTTCACGTGTTTTGGTGACTACACTACTCATTATGCTGACATAGTCAGTGCTGCCGCCGACGAGTGTCGATACTGCCACCATCTACTCTTCCTGTCGATGGCCAGCGATTGAGGACCGAGGTGTCTCATTTGGTTCCAGCCTACATGACCGCTCTATCGACCGCCAGCCATTGTTTGCTTTCGCTTCTCACAGCTTCCGATCCATGTTCCGAGACGATCAGTGGGTGGAGGAGGCGGCGTACTGAGGGATGGAGTCAACTCAAGTCCCCTCGACGACTTACTACATACTTACTTACTTCCTCCGCGCCCGTTGTTGCATCAATGAAGCGGTGATCTGAATCGCATCTCCCTTCACACCTCACGTGCTCGACAAAAACGCGCTGAACCCCAAGCCTTGGGGCCATGTCCTTCAACAATCGGGATTCGAACGGGCAAAACCAGCACAGAGAAGGTGACCCGCTCGCTTATTTGACCTTGAGTTCCAGAGGGCTTCAAAGCTCGGTAAAAATAATTGTAAAAAACGTGATACATAATACAGTATAAGTAGTCAAAGCGAGTGTTTTTCGGCATGTAACGTGTATGTGTCGACAAGTTCTACATCATCACATGGGTGTGGTCCTTAGGGTACAGAGTAAGCAGGGAACCATAAGCATCCATGTCACGCATAACACTTGGACCCCATCACTGCTGCGTGATCGGCCGATGATTGCCAGACCTTGAACTCCACCGACAACGGTACCACACGAACCGTCTAAACCATCTCGAGGGCTTGGGCTCCTATATCTCCGCACGTGGCGTTTGATGGCCGCCCATGCTTGTGCACAACGTTATAGCCTTCCTAAATTCCTCTGCCCAGTATGATCTGATTCTATTCCCGTCAGTGCACGTTCGTGGAAGCCCAATCGGGCCGTGGGGATCTGTTCCGTGCGACTGCATATATAGCGCACGCGATGGCGTGCACGGTCCCGCGTCCACCTTCGACCGCACTCTCAGGGACTCTCTCTGCACGCCATGAGCAGCGACGACGACGCCAAAAACGCGCAGATTGACGAGAAGGGACTCGAGTCGCCGCCGAGCCTGAGCCGCCATGATGATGGCGCTGCTGCCGCTACCTTGGAGTTGGTCTCTAGAAAGGAGAGACTGTCGAGCGCGTTCACCATTGCGTGTGCCGGTGCGTGGGACGCGATCGTGTTATCAACAGAGAACCCTCAGCCCGAACAGGCTTCGCGTTGATCAGCGATGGGCTCCAGAACGTACGCGCACACGAGCGAGTGTCCGGTCCCCCGCATCTCACGCAGCGTCGCAGAACATCATGTCCCTGACGAACGTGGTCTTCACCCAGCTGTATGGCTCCGCGGCATACAATTCGTTCTGGTCGACTCAGCTGTCCAACTCCCTCACTGTCGGTGTGTCCGGATCCCCGCGCATCATTCACGATCTGTCTCCCGTCTGACTGGGCATGAGGCACGATTCTCGGTCAGGTTGCGATCGGCTATCTGTGCGACGTCAAGGGCCGGAAGTGGGGCATCGTGCTGTCGACCGTACGTGACATGTCGGTAGCTTCGCCTGAGCTGATCCCGTGCCGCGCAGGTGCTCATCGTGCTCGGGATCATCCTTTGCGCCGCTGCCAAGGGCGCTCACGGAAGCTTCCACGGGTTCCTCTGGATGTTCACGGTCAGCAGCGCCACTCACACTCCCCCCCCTCGTGTGATAGGCTGACGGGAGACAGATCGCTCGTGGGATCACGGGTCTCGGAGTGGGGGGTGAATACCCCAGTTCGTCGACCTCTGCTGCGGAAGCGGCCAAGTGCGTGTGAAAGCTCCGTGGACATGTAGACGATTGACTCTAGCTCGCAGTGCGCGCATGCTCAAGCAGCGAGGACCTGTGTTCATCCTGGTGGGTCTCCCAGCAATCACTATAGCAGCCGTTGATCTCTGAATCCGCTGCTTAGGTCACCAACTTGGTCCTTTCGTACGGAATCGAACATATCAAACGAATTCGGTGCTGACCAGTCGATAACAGGATGGGCGGACCTTGTGCGATCATCCTGTATCTTATCGTGTTCGAAGCAGCCGGGGGCCTCTCTGCCAACCTGTCAACCGTCTGGCGCACCGTTTTTGGTATCAGCGCCGTCCCACGTGCGTCGGCCTCACGCATTTGGGAGTCTGTCGACTGACTTGGGGTTGACAGCGCTGATCGTGTTCTATTTCCGTCTCAAGATGCTGAATTCTGAGCTCTATCGCAAGGGCGCCATCCAGCAGAACGTCCCGCACTTGCTTACGATCCGGTACTACTGGAGATCGCTCATTGGTACGGCGGGGGCATGGTTTTTGTATGATTTCATTGGTGAGCGCATCTGTTTCGGGGTTGTGGACCGATGCTTAGATCTGCGTAGTGTTCCCGAACGGTGTTTGTAAGTCCCGGGAATCGTATCTTGCTTGCGCATGCTCAGTTTCCTTGCAGTCTCCGGTGTCATCATCTCGTCGTTGGTCAAAGTGCACGGTAAAGGTGTGTCTCGTTTTTGGCAATCCTTGGCCTTTTTTTGTGACATAGTGACTAGAACTCGTGCGCAAGACCGCGGAATGGCAACTGCTCTTGGGCATCATTTCCATTCCAGGGTGTTTTGTGGGTGCTGCGTTGGTCAAGTATGTGCCGTTCTGGTTGTCTTGGTATAATCCAGTCCTCATCTCTCGGACTAGCCGCATCGGACGCAGAAACACGATGATCTTGTATGTCAAGTTGTTTCCCCTCGCAGTCGATCTGGCACTCAAGGGCCCGCAGCGGGTTCTCTGGCTACCTCATTTTCGGCCTCATCGTTGGCTGTGCATACAACAAGGTCATCAAGAACGTGGCCGGATTCGTCGTGCTGTACGGGCTGATGAACAGTCTTGCTAATGCTGGACCTGGAGACATGTGTGTCCTCCGGCTTTGCATCACGCCCGGTGACTGACTGAGTTCCCTCGCAGGCTCGGTCTCGTCTCTGCGGAATCCTATGCCACGGCCGTCCGCGGGACGTGCTACGGCTTCAGCGCCGCCATTGGCAAGACGGGTGCTGTGATCGGCACTCAGGCGTTCACGCCGATCCGCAACAACCTCGGCGCGCGCTGGACCTTTGTAGGCTTTCGCCACAAGCATGTTCCACTCCGTGACTGACAGAACGCGACAGATCATTGCAGCCATCTGTGGGCTCGCGGGCATGCTCGTGACGATCTTCTTCATCCGCAACGACCTGGGTGGTGATCTTGCCGAGGAGGATGCCAGATTCGCTGCGTTCTTGGAGGCCAACGGGTGGCAGGGAAAGATCGGCGCGACAGAGTCGATTGATAAGCTCGTTGTCGCGGAGAAGGGCGAGAACGAGGAGAAAAAGTGACGGACTGTGCGTATGTTGCCAGTCGGATGAATTAATGATGTATGTAGCCCATACTGTATTATCCGAGCATGCTATCTCGGTCAGTGAGTTTGGATTCGTCACATCCGAGTTGCGGTGCGTAAGTTCTGCCGTTCGAGTGGTGAAATGCACTCAGATGGGCTTAAACTGCATACTTCTAATTCTATTCTCCCTATGCATGCGTTTTGAGCGATAATTCGGCAACCCTGCTGTCACCTTGAATACATCCTCGAATGAGTTTTGTCGTCCAGCACACTAGCCGCGGGAACATTGAACTGGATTTCGGCAATGGTACCCGGTTTTCCCGTATCGCTGCTGCTCCTCCGGACGCCAGCGTCGGGCACAAACGAGGCCGTGGTCAACACCGTCGGCGCGCCGCTCTGTCGCATCAGCCGGCCCTCCGCGTCCGAGCTCTCCGTGCGGACCATCTCGTCCCTGGTCGCCTTGCGCGAGTTGAGCGTCCACATGGCGGAGAACGCGTAGAGGTTGGGCAGGAGCTCGTTCGCCACGATCGCGGTCGCCAGCTGGGGGCTGCCGCGGAACCAGCTCGGCGACGCCTGTGACGTCGCGAGGAGGATGACGGTGCAGGTCGAGGCGGGCAGCGCGGATTGGATCGTCAGGGCTGCCATGCGATTGAGGACGCCCGCCGTGCTGTCCAAGACATTTCGGGATTGTGCCTGGGAAGGGAGTTGAAGGATGTTTTGAAGGACCGGAGAGAGCGCTTACGAGAAGTGTATAGATGAAAGACGCTGACAGAGTCAGGTCCCCGACGAGAAGAAGACTGGTGTTCGCGGCACCTATTGACATAAAGATGGTGGTCAATCCATATTCTCTCAGAGAACGGAGAGACACTTGCCCCAAGGGTGTCGTTTGCTGTCCCCAATGATCTCAGTCTGTTATAATGAGCCATCATCACCTCTTCAAGAGCGCAGTCATCTTACCGCCTCGATGCCACAGACCAGAGCGACTAGGAAGACGATCGTTAGGCCGATGGGGATCAGTGGATGCCTCGATAATTGCTTGAAGATACATCAGCAATCTCGCACAGAGGAATAACGCACTCAAGCTTACCCATAGTCGCCAACAGAGAAAGATTTGTACGTACAGCACAAGCAGCGAGACAAACAAAAAACGGAGGGCAGTGGGAAGCGATGCGTAGTCCGCGATCGCGCCCACAAGGTCAAGAAACCGAGTCGTGTTCTGGATATAGTTCAAGACCCTGCAAAATTCAGCTTGCATTCAGCAGAGAGATGGATTGGATCCATCAGCGCACGCACAGCGAGTATGTCGTCTTGAACAACGTCAGCACAAATAGACCCGCCACCCAGAGCCGGATTCCCAGCGGATCCGTGCGATGATAGCCATGTGAAATGTACGTCGCGAATTGTGTGAAGAGGATGCCCTGGATGAACTGGTCGCCGTACACCGCGAGATTCTCACAGAAACGTTCAGCGTGCAGCAATCTGGAGTGAAGGGCAGACCCACCAGGCCTCCAAGGATGTATTGCACGAATGGGAGCGTCGGCATTGCAGTCGTGAGTAGTCGCAGAGAGCCCAGCTGCCCCTAGCCGGAGTGAAACAGGTTTCTTCCGCGGTTTCACAGCGGGTGTATCCCCCAGTTGAGATCGAGCGAGGTCTGCGGGGAACCGTGCGTCATTGACATGTAATGAGAGCTATATTTGAAGGCGTATTCGTCTTCATTCACTGCTCTGTTAAGAAAGGAAACGAGCGAGAAACGCAAGCTGTTTCTGAAAGAACAGGACGAGGTGCAGTTCAAGTCACATCAGCTGACTGTGACGGACCGCGTCCATCTGCGATCTCCTCCTTGCCTCGACCATATTCATGTTGCGGTTCCTTTGCCATTGGTCCATCCATTCATCCATCCAGTAAAATATATGAGATGAATTGGCACTAAAATCATCGAAGAGAGTACTACGGGAACAGTCACAACGACTTGACCATGCGCACAATCATGCCATTCTCCATTCCAAACACTAACATACAAGTGCACTATTCATCATTTCCCTCTCATCGCGATGCCAGATCCACTCTGGACCTACTCTGTGCATGCATCGAGCTGGCCTTCGCACTCAACGCCTCATCCAAGCTTTTCTTGCCCATGCTCTCGTACTTCCTCCCGAGCTCTGCCTCCTCGTCCATAATCGGAGCCGCGTACGCAGCCGTTCCTGCCCCGGGCGCACCAAACTGGATATCCGCGACGCTGTCTGGGCGGCCGGAATCGTCCGAAGATGAGCTGCCTGTGCGGGCGGCCTGGGGCGCAAAGGAGGTCCTCGTCGTAGTCGTCGTCTCGGTAGTCGTCGTCGCCGCGCCGGCACTCCGTCTGTTCAGCTTCTCATGCACATCCGAAACGCCCGAGTTCCTGTTCTGGCTCGTCCCCGTCCTCATCTCCTCCTGCGAATTGAGCGTCCACATGGCCGAAAACGCGTACAAGTTGGGCAGGATCTCGATCGTCACGATCGCCGTGGCGCGCTCGGGGGTGCCGATGAACCAGCTGGGCGACGCTTGTGAGGTGGCGAGGAATACCACGGTGCAGAAGGTCGCGGGGAGTGCGGACTGGATCGCCAGGGCTGTCATTCGTTCGAGCATGTTGGAAGTCTCGGCCCTCGTGACTTTGCGGGACTGCGTTTCAGTGGAGATGTGGTGAGCGGCGGAACAAGTGCAATCAGTACTGCCTGCTCACAAGCAGATCATAGACGGTGGCGGCCGATAGACCGAGTGCCCCAATAAAAAGCATGCTCGCATGGGCCGCGCCTGCAGAACAACACCTTGAGTCAAAGCACACAGTATACGGAGTTGGACAATTACCCCACTGTTGGCTGTGTCCACTACCGCTGAAAACCTGTGTCTGCTCAAGTCAGCAATAGCAACTTGGCGGGCATGGTCTGAACTCACCGCCATGATCCAACAGATCAGAACGAGAAGGAACACGACCGCGAGACTGAGCGAAGGCCAGAAGTGTCCCGAGAGGTGCTTGTACGAAAATCAGTGGGTGTGCGATGCAGCGGTGGTACGACTTACCGAGAGTCGCCAGCAGAGAAACAGCTGAACGTACAGCACAAGTAACGCCGCCCACAGAAAGCCAAGTGCCGTTTGGACGGCCGCGTAGTCGGCGACCGCCCCAGCGAGATCGAGGAATCGAGCCGTGTTTTGGATGTAATTCAAGACACTGGATCGCTGTGAGGACATGCGGCGAGCGAGGTTGGACAAACGTCACGTACAGCGAGTACACGGTCCTGAACAGGATGAACACGAAGAGAGCGGCCACCCAGAGGCGAACTGGTATCGAGTCCGTGCGATGGAAGCCGTGCGAGACATATGTGGCGAACTGGGTGAACAGGACGCCTTGTAGGATCAGGTCTCCGCAAACAGCGAGGTCCTACGAAGACGTCAGGATCTGGAAAGGCGAGCACCCTCGATACTCACCAATCCTCCGAGGATGAATTTCACGAATGGGAGAGTGGGCATCGTAGTCGTGAGCAAAGGACGAGTGAGGATGGGCCCCTAACTGAAACTGATTTCTTCCGCGGTCTTGGTCGACGGATCAAATGTCTCAGAGGTTCCACTCGCGGGGTCTTGCAGTTGGCTCCTCTCCATTCTGCACTCGGGATACATTGCTATCATCATGCAGGTCTCCACAGTCCTTTGTCGACATATATAAATGTGCGACGGCATCTCCTCTCCTCAGCGGCAACTCTGCACACCACACCCACTATGTACTCTCGTCGAAACAGCCTGACCATAACCACCAAGACTCCCTTCCCGACCTTCTCGTCGATAAAGAAGGTCATCGTGTCGCCCTCCTCTATTTATCACACCGCACCCGCACCCGCACCCAAGGCCTCCGAGCCTGCCGCACCGCACGCTCACCTCCACTTCCAAGAAGTTGAGGTCATGTACACGCTCCCCAAAGACCACCCGGAGGACGAACCGAAGGAGACCATGATTCGCTTCTTCAAATACGTCCCTGAGCCTGAGCCTGCATCTGAGGAAGATCAGGACGCAGAAATGTACTGGGGATATTTCATGGTGAGGCCCACGCACGCACTCTGTTTCCTGGATCGGCGATTCTCATTGCGATTCAAGTGACCTGGCAGTAGCCTGTCCCACACAAGGGCTGAACATTTCTGATCCCGAGGATACACATCAGGCCGAGAGAGGAACATTGACTTCCCACCGCTGGTCCAGCGGTGCTTCGCAATCATCAAGTGACAAAACGTCCGTCCGGTAGACAACCGTGTCTCACAAACGCGGAGAGAATATCTCGGGGCCTTTCTCCAGCAGTTGCTACATGTCGTCTAGTAATACAACACACACTAAAATAACATCTTGCTCATGTACGGGCCATCCAATTCGTACCCCAGTTTTCGATAATAGTCCCGTGTCCCGACACCTGAGATCACGGCCAGCTTGAAACTGCCATGTTCCTCGCGGGCGATCCGCTCGGCTTCCTCCATGAGGAGCGTCCCGAAGCCTTGGTGCTGGAATTTAGCTGGATCTCTGCCATGCACCGGCACGGCCGTGCCATACACATGCAATTCGCGCACAATGCTGCAGCCGCCCTCGGGCCGGGGAACTAGCTCAGGGCGGAACGTGCCTTCCTCGGAGCACTTGCGCAACCGCAGCAGGCCGACGAGGATGTCCCGCTCCGGGTCCTCGTACGACAAGAACGTCTCCCAGCCCCCGTTTGCGGCGTAGTCCCGCCGCAGGAGTTCCACTGACTCGGGTCGGACTTTGTGGTGGATCTCGTGGATGCCGACTTCGCGATATCGCACGTCCCGGCACTCGGCACCAAAGTCCCGCATCCGGTTCAGGGCCAGTTCCCGCAGGTTGCCCGAGTTATCGCAGCCGCTGGTGACCAGAGGAAGAGGGATGTCTCGCTGGACGCGGTATACCCGGGTCCATGGCGGAACGAGAGCCAGGATTCTGGCGACCACGTCGACGAGAACGTTGGCGGTGTAGTTTTTGTAGCGGCCTGTTCTCCAGAGTTCGTACAGCCCCGTCCCACGGATAACCAGCGTCGGGTAGATCTTGAGACCATCTGCACGGAACGCCGGGTTCTCGAAGAATTCGTGGAACTGTGCTAAATCGCGCTCGATTCCAAGATTAGGGAGATCGGGCATCATGTGCGCGACGACTTTGAACCCGGCGTCTTTTGAGAGCTGGAAGGACTCGGAGACCGCTCGCACGGTGTGACCTCGATTCGTATCCCGTGCGACGTCCTCGTAGACGGACTGGACACCGATCTCAAGTCGGGTGCATCCATATCGTAACATTTGACTTGGGAAACATGAGAAGGAATTTAGGATATTCTGATAGCAGACGCACCTCAAATGCGGTCGTAGACAATAATCCGGTCTTGTCTCGATCGTGATCCCGATGGCCTTCGACTTGCTACGCTCAGAATACCTCACGGCTTCGTCAACATCGGTTCCCGTAAAGCCGGAAAGAGCGTTGTGGAGTTGGGCGATAAACTTGTTGCGATATTCTTCAGGCATGCTCATGAACGTCCCGCCCATGACGATGAATTCCACCTACTTTGGTTAGCGACGTGCGTGATGAGCAGTAAAGAACAGGCACCTTATCCACACTATGCCCAAGACTTTTCAATTGCTCCACTCGTCCCCTCGTCTGCTCATATGGATCGTATCTCGCACGGATCGCACGCATGCTAGTCGGCTCGTATCCAGTATAACTCTGAGTGCTATAGTCGAAATCTGAATCTGGCCCGCCAGGACAGTAGACGCAAATATTTCCGGTCATCGCGATATGCGGACACCGGTGGGGTTTACACATGACAGCCACTACCGCGATCTAAGACGAGCCATGAATACCTCAGAAGAAAAATCCACCGTGGGGATCGACGCACTCCACTGGCAGTCCGGATCGGGCGCGCTCTGAGGTTGGGCAGCAGGGCGCTTTTGTACTCTTCGGGAATGGCGCTGATGATGTCGACCAGGCGGGGCACGCCGCCGTACCCGTGCTTCTTGCTCATCTTCGTACGCAGCTCGTTGAGAGACACGCTTTCGCCGGCATCGTGTGCTGCGATGAGGGCGGCCGCGATCCCGGATGTGACGCGGAGAAGCTGCTCGGCCTGCGAAGGGCCACCGGTTTTGGTCTTCTGCACCATGATCAAAGTCGAGGAGAAATAATATGCGGTCCGATAACTAGCCGAGATATGTGTTTATCTATATTTGGAGGTCAGAAGCGCTGTAAGTACCTTGATATTTCTCGCTGATTGCTGCCACGTTCGCGCACGCTCGCTTCAAAGTTCTTTGGTTTCGCGAGAATGCCCCCTCCGAACGTGGTGGATCCTTGGTTTGCGGGACGCCATTTCGGCATCGTTATAGACGCGGGTTCGTCGGGATCACGGAGTCAGATCTACAGCTGGAAAGACGCGAGCGCCATATCTGTGGAACCTGGGAGCGAGCTCGCCAAGTCGCTGCCGAAGGTGGAGAAGGGTACACGGGATGGGGATAAGTGGGTGACTAAGGTCGAGCCAGGTGCGTGTGTTTTTGTGATGTTGTACGGTTGGGATGTAACATGTACTGCTAGGTATTTCCTCGTATGCCGACGACGTAGAAAACATTACCAACCATCTGCGGCCGCTAATTTCTCATGCGCGGACTTTGATACCGCCGTCCCTGCAGCCCAGTACACCGCTGTTCTTGCTAGCCACTGCGGGCATGCGTTTGTTACCACCGGAGAAGCAGGCCGCCGTGCTACAGGCC